GGAGTACTTCTCCTGTCTTATCCAGTGTCCTGTGTGAATTTAAGTATGCTCTCTCTAATTCTCTCGTTCTCTCTTTCTCTCTGAGAACCTGAGTCCTAGGACCATACGTCAGGACTACCGGGCATGATGACACCTTGCTGTCCCCAGTCCGCCTGGCCTTGCTGCTATTCCAGTTTCAACTGTTCTGCCTGCGGTTACGAAACCCCTACCTGTCCCAGACCTGCTGTTTTCAACTCTTAATGATCGGCTATGAAAAGCCAACTGAGAGACCTGAGCCCTAGGACCATACGTCGGGACTACCGGCCGTGGTGACTCCTTGCTGTCCCCAGTCCGCCTGGCCTTGCTGCTATTCCAGTTTCAACTGTTCTGCCTGCGGTTATGGAACCCCTACCTGTCCCAGACCTGCTGTTTTCAACTCTTAATGATCGGCTATGAAAAGCCAACTGAGATTTATTCCTGATTATTATTTGACCATGCTTGTCACTTATGAACATTTTTGAACATCTTGGCATGGTTCTGTTATAATCTTCACCCGGCACAGCCAGAAGAGGACTGGCCACCTCTCATAGCCTGGTTCCTCTCTAGGTTTCTTCCTAGGTTTTCGCCTTTCTAGGGAGTTTTTCCTAGCCACCGTGCTTCTACACCTGCATTACTAGCTGTTTGGGGTTTTAGGCTGGGTTTCTGTACAGCACTTCGAGATATTAGCTGATGTAAGAAGGGCTATATAAAATAAAATTGATTGATTGATTGATTTTGTATGCACTCACTAACTGTAAGTCGCTCTGGATAAGAGCATCTGCTAAATGACTAAAATGTAAAATGTAAATGTAATTCTTCCGATGGCATTGAGGAGTACACCACATCAGTCACTGGCTTCATCAATAAGTGCATCGATGACGTCGTCCCCACAGTGACTGTACGTACATACCCCAACCAGAAGCCATGGATTACAGGCAACATCCGCACTGAGCTATAGGGTAGAGCTGCCGCTTTCAAAGAGCGGGACTCTAACCCGGAAGCTTATAAGAAATCCCGCTATGCCCTCCGACGAACCATCAAACAGGCAAAGCGTCAATACAGGGCTAAGATCGAATCGTACTACACCGGCTCTATTGCGCTCCACACTGCCCTTTCGCACCTGGACAAAAGGAACACCTAGTGAGAATGCTATTCATTGACTACAGCTCAGCGTTCAACACCATAGTGCCCTCAAAGCTCATCACTAAGCTAAGGACCCTGGGACTAAACACCTCCCTCTGCAACTGGATCCTGGACTTCCTGACGGGCCGACCCAGGTGGTAAGGGTAGGTAACAACACATCCGCTACGCTGATCCTCAACACGGGGGCCCCTCAGTGGTGCGTGCTCAGTCCCCTCCTGTACTCCCTGTTCACTCATGACTGCATGGCCAGGCACGACTCCAACACCATCATTAAGTTTGCCGATGACACAACAGTGGCAGGCCTGATCACCGACAACGACGAGACAGCCTATAGGGAGGAGGTCAGAGACCTGGCCGTGTGGTGCCAGGACAACAACCTCTCCCTCAACGTGATCAAGACAAAGGAGATGATTGTGGACTACAGGAAAAAGAAGAGGACCGAGCACGCCCCCATTCTCATCGACGGGGCTGTAGTGGAGCAGGTTGAGAGCTTCAAGTTCCTTGGTGTCCACATCACCAACAAACTAACAAGGTCCAAGCACACCAAGACAGTCATGAAGAGGGCACGACAAAACCTATTCCCCCTAAGGAGACTGAAAATATTTGGCATGTGTCCTCAGATTCTCAAAAGGTTCTACAGCTGCACCATCGAGAGCATCCTGACTGGTTGCATCACTGCCTGGTATGGCAACTGCTTGGACTCCGACCACAAGGCACTACAGAGGGTAGTGCGTACGGCCCAGTACATCACTGGGGCCAAGCTTCCTGCCATCAGGACCTCTATAACAGGCGGTGTCAGAGGAAGGCTCTAAGAATTGTCAAAGACACCAGCCACCCTAGTCATAGACTATTCTCTCTGCTACCGCACGGCAAGCGGTACCGGAGCGCCAAGTCTAGGTCCAAACAGCTTCTACCCCCAAGCCATAAGACTCCTGAACATCTAATCAAATGGCTACCCAGACTATTTGCATCCCCCTCCCCCCTCTTTTACGCTGCTGCTACTCTCTGTTTATTATCTATGTATAGTCACTTTCATAACTCTACGTACGTGTACATATTACCTCAATTACCTCAACTATCCGGTGCCCCCGCACATTGACTCGGTACCGGTACCCCCTGTATATAGTCTCGCTATTGTTATTTTTACTGCTGCTCTTTAATTATTTGTAACTTTTATTTCGTATTATTTTATATTGTATTTTTTGGGGGGGGTTTTGGTATTCTTTCTTAAAACTGCATTGTTGGTTAAGGGCTTGTAAGTAAGCATTTCACTGTAAGGTCTACACTTGTCACAACACAACAGATTGGATCAAACGCACTAAGAAGGAAAGACATTCCACAAAGCAACTTTTAACAAGGCACAACTGTTAATTTAAATGCTTCCAGGTGACTACCTCACGAAGCTGGTTGAGAGAATGCCAACAGTGTGCAAAGCTGTCATCAAGGGAAAGGGTGGCTACTTTGAAGAATGTCAAATATAAAATATATTTTGATTTGTTTACCACTTTTTTGGTTACTACATGATTCCATATGTGTTATTTCATAGGTTTGATGTCTTCACTATTATTCTACAATGTAGAAAATAGTGTAACTCAGTAAAATCTTTAAAATTGTTGCATGTTGCGTTTATATTTTTGTTCATTGTAGTAAGAGAGGCAGCTACAGTCACAAGCAGTGCTTAGTGTTCATCTCTCATACAACCTACTGAATTAAACAATATCCAGAACAGATGCAGTACATACTCATCACAAGCCTCCGAGGGAAGAGTGTACAGTGATTACAGCATGAAACGTCATCTGAAGAATATATACCTTGACCTTGCTGTGACTGAGCATATGGGAAAACGGAAGCAGATATGAATGACTCATTCAGTGTATTTGAGGGGAAGTGTATTAAAGGAAGCTTTTATTTACATGTACATCCACTGTGACTGAGGCATACCAGTATCATTGACTGTAACAATGGCACTTCTTCCTATTGCGTTCCTATGGTCAAACTGTCAACCAGTTTGTCTGAATGTGGAAATGTCCATCCAGTTGTAATCGAACTGGACATACTCTTAAATGAAAGAAAATTCTTATTTTCACTGGTTCTCCCAGGTGAGGCTCAGATGCTTTGTTCTGTACGTGTTATAATTATCTTAGGTAGGGCAAAGATTTACGTTCCCTTCATAATAGCCCTTACAGAAGTTGGGACCTCTTTGTTGTATGTGTGAGCATCAACATACACTACATTGTGAGTGGGAGTGATATTGGATGTGTTTTCTATTCAACATACCAAGTTGTCAGTAGTAATCCCCAGAAAAGGATTTGCTGGCTGTTTCTGACCAGTAGGGAATGGCTGAAAGTGCGTGACCACAAGAGGAGTTGTTGGCATGATTTTCAAAAGCTTGATGCATTTCCATGTTATCCATGCTGTCGCCAATGCAGTTGTCATGGCATGCAGTATAGACTGTTGATGCAATAAGGAATATCTTTTTTTTGTAAAAATCATTTGGGAATAATGCCATGGATTTCACACAGTCTTATAGTTATTACCTTGACAATATATGTTTGTATGTAATACTATGCAAATGTAACTGCATGCATTATTTATACCATCTACTATGCATATTGTTTCAATTGCATTGTGGGCCTAATGTTTAGGGAGAGAATTCTGTGTTGGCCAGTAGTCATCAATATTTAACAGCTGTTATTATTCTTTACAGGCTAATGTAGCTTGCCATCCTGCACACAATGGCTTGAACAGACGTGAGGCCACTGTTGGGGATATGGAGGAGATTGACAGATGGTTTAGTTGCGTAACAGTGTCGCCTCAGCCAGCCAACTCCTACTCTCTCGCTCTTTTTCTCTTGCTTTCTCTCTGTCCACCCCTCCCTCCTTCTGGTGATCCTGACTCGGATTTCCTTGTTTAGTCATGTAGGGGGTGGCCGGGAAGCCAGGAGGGTGGAAATAAGCTAATGAGGTGGCTCGGTGCAAATTTCCCGCCCATTTTCCTCTCTGGCCCCCTCTTGCCGCTGGTGAATATATATTTGTGCTGTGAACACGCAAAGGCTGTCAGACAGCAGAGTCTCTCACGCGTACCGGGCACAGTCCCTTCTGCTCTGTGCTCTCCCTCCCTGGCCGACCGGGTGATACCACAGCACAGGGAAGCAGTGGGGCAGGGGCAGCATCTCTCATGTGGTTACCAGGGAGACGAGTGTAAACACTGCCTCTCTCCAGACACAGAATGTAGGGTCTATACCATTTAATAATAGCTTGAAGAAAAAGGGAAATTGAAAATGATACTGTAAAAAATTGGAAATGGTTCATAAACTGAGTAGGTACACAGGCTTGTCTAATAGACTAGACTTAACATAGTAAATAAAAAATCCGGGACACTCCAATGAGTATGATATGTTACGTTTGGTATAGTTACATAAGACAGAAGGCTATTTCAGGCAAAAACGAAAGGAGGGTGGATGGGTGGGCGTATAACGCGAACGTCTAACAACCCAAAGGTTGAGTGTTCAATCTCATCACCGAAGATTTAGCATTTTAGTTAATTAGCAACTTTGCAACTACTTACTAGTTTTTAGATACTTTGCAATTACTTTCCATTTTAGCCAACCTTTCCCTAACCCTAACCCTTAACCCTTTAACTTAACTCTTAACCCTAACCTTCACTCTAACCATAACCCCTAACCCCTAGCCTAGCTACCGTTAGCCACCTAGCTAACATTAGCCACAACTAAAAGGAATTCTTAACACATCATACCTATTGCTAATTTGTATCATATTGTATGAATAGCAAGTTCGTAACATACCATACAAGTTGTAATTCGTAACATATCATACGAAATGGATGACATGTACAAATTAATACATACCATACCAAACGTAACATATAGCGTCCCGGACTTACGTTTACTATGTTACGTCTACCTGTGAGTGCAGGTTGGTGTACAACAGTGTTTGACTCTCTCTCTCTATCCCTCACGCTGTCCGTCTCGATCTCTGTGTGTGTGTGTGAGAAAGAGAGTGAGAGCTTTCTAGGACATGTTGTGGCATCTTGCAGTAATGAGTTCATATCAGTGTGCATAGTATGAGACAACTGTGAGAATGTGTATTGTTATTGTGGACCCTAATTGACTGATTACTCATTATACATCTAATAAACCTGTTAGTCCCCTCACTGAGAAGGTGTTGTCCTTTTTCCTCTTATCCAGCCATCCAGGAGAAGCCATGCAGAAAGCACATCATGAAGCCGCCTTTAAACCACAAGGATACCAGGAAAGAGAGCCTGCCCATTGGGACCCCGGGGACTAGCAGCAGCATGGTGGAGAGTGACCTCTTACTGGAGGTGAGACAGAGCGGAGAAGAAGGGTCAGCCTGTGGTTTGTCCTCCCAATAGAGCACTGATGAACGATGAGATGAGAGAGCACTGATGGGGCTGGGAAACGGCAATGACTGGGTCATCAGTCTTGGACGAAAGCAGTCTACCATGCCGTGATTGTGTTTTTTCTTAAAAATTCAGAGGGCAAAAATGCCAAATAAAATCTTGAATGAAAAAATACACAAAGTTGAATTTAGCCAAATTTATTAATTGAGGTATAGAATACAGTGGGGGAAAAAAGTATTTAGTCAGCCACCAATTGTGCAAGTTCTCCTACTTAAAAAGATTAGAGGCCTGTAATTTTCATCATAGATACACGTCAACTATGACAGACAAAATGAGAAGAAAAAAATCCAGAAAATCACATTGTAGGATTTTTTATGAATTTATTTGCAAATTATGGTGGAAAATAAGTATTTGGTCAATAACAAACGTTTCTCAATACTTTGTTATATACCCTTTGTTGGCAATGACACAGGTCAAACGTTTTCTGTAAGTCTTCACAAGGTTTTCACACACTGTTGCTGGTATTTTGGCCCATTCCTCCATGCAGATCTCCTCTAGAGCAGTGATGTTTTGGGGCTGTCGCTGGGCAACACGGACTTTCAACTCCCTCCAAAAATTTTCTATGGGGTTGAGATCTGGAGACTGGCTAGGCCACTCCAGGACCTTGAAATGCTTCTTACGAAGCCACTCCTTTGTTGCCCGGGCGGTGTGTTTGGGATCATTGTCATGCTGAAAGACCCAGCCACGTTTCATCTTCAATGCCCTTGCTGATGGAAGGAGGTTTTCACTCAAAATCTCACGATACATGGCCCCATTCATTCTTTCCTTTACACGGATCAGTCGTCCTGGTCCCTTTGCAGAAAAACAGCCCCAAAGCATGATGTTTCCACCCCCATGCTTCACAGTAGGTATGGTGTTCTTTGTCCTCCAAACACGACGAGTTGAGTTTTTACCAAAAAGTTCTATTTTGGTTTCATCTGACCATATGACATTCTCCCAATCCTCTTCTGGATCATCCAAATGCACTCTAGCAAACTTCAGACGGGCCTGGACATGTACTGGCTTAAGCAGGGGGACACGTCTGGCACTGCAGGATTTGTGTCCCTGGCGGCGTAGTGTGTTACTGATGGTAGGCTTTGTTACTTTGGTCCCAGCTCTCTGCAGGTCATTCACTAGGTCCCCCCGTGTGGTTCTTCGATTTTTGCTCACCTTTTTGTGATCATTCTGACCCCACGGGGTGAGATCTTGCGTGGAACCCCAGATCGAGGGAGATTATCAGTGGTCTTGTATGTCTTCCATTTGCTAATAATTGCTCCCACAGTTGATTTCTTCAAACCAAGCTGCTTACCTATTGCAGATTCAGTCTTCCCAGCCTGGTGCAGGTCTACAATTTTGTTTCTGGTGTCCTTTGACAGCTCTTTGGTCTTGGCCATAGTGGAGTTTGGAGTGTGGAGTTTGAGGTTGTGGACAGGTGTCTTTTATACTGATAACAAGTTCAAACAGGTGCCATTAATACAGGTAACGAGTGGAGGACAGAGGAGCCTCTTAAAGAAGAAGTTACAGGTCTGTGAGAGCCAGAAATCTTGCTTGTTTGTAGGTGACCAAATACTTATTTTCCACCATAATTTGAAAATAAATTCATTAAAAATCCTACAATGTGATTTTCTGGATTTTTTTCCTCAATTTTTCTGTCATAGTTGACGTGTACCTATGATGAAAATTACAGGCCTCTCTCATATTTTTAAGTGGGAGAACTTGCACAATTGGTGGCTGACTAAATACTTTTTTCCCCACTGTATGTATTGATGATATCGTGGCACAGCGGAGCTGCTGGGAGGATGGGTGTAGGAACAGAACATTGCGTTCCCCAACCCCCACCTTCTCCATCCCAGAATCCCCGCCCTCCCCTTGTCACAAACCGCTAGAAAATCTCCCTCCCTCAGTAGCGTGACACCAAAGCAACTGACCATGATGCTGCTCAATGAAGATCGTGACACTGTTAGGTCAGTATCACACCAGAAAAGGGAAAAGGGGACCCAGCTGACCTGGGCTTACTCGAATTACACCGGAGGTGACAGGGCCTGGCAAGGAGCAGGCCAGAGTCACGCAAATGTCAAACACATCAGCTCCAGCCAACACGGGGAAGTTAATGAGGAACTCTGCATGGTGTTTCCTCCCCTTCTCTCCATGTTTTACTCTTCATATCAGGAGGCACGAAAACACCATTTTTTGTTTATTTTGTTCTGACGTCCATTCTTATCAGAAATAGAGATGTTGTATCGAAAGGATTTACCAATGAATTACTCATCAATCAAGTGCAATTGAAGTTGGTCCCCTGTGCTCTTAGCACATTCATGTCCAAAATTATTGGCACCCTTGATAAAGATATGCAAAAAAGACTGTATAAATGGGAAAATTATTAGAAAATTACAATACAATTGCTCAGAGAAAGATTTTATTTAACAAGTAATAAAATACATTCTTAAAAAGATAGGTGTGAAAATGATTGGCATCCCTGTTTTCAAAACCTTTCAATACCTCACTGAGCCTTTTTCTCAAATGTTTTATGAGATTGGAGAATGCATTGGGAGGGATCTTAGACCATTCCGCCATACAGAATCTTTCCAGATCCTTCGTATCCTTCATCTGCGCTTATCGACTGCCCTCTTTTTTTAACGCGTTTTTGTATATATATTTTTTAAAGAAATTAAAAAATAGTTTGGCAACCCTGTTTGTAGGCTTTTAAATGATATTAAACTTAACCGTTTATTTTTTCCAGTGATTAAGACAGGGATGTCTCATGGTAGGGTGGGGTATGCAAAATGGATCAACTTTGATTACCTCTATCTCCTAAATGTTTTAGAATTCAGGTAAAGAAAAGTTACTTTCTGATCACTTCTACCATGGGCAAATATGTAAAGACATTTTCGTTCAAATCAAAAGGGGTGCGGTCAAAAAGTTATTAAAATCAAATGGAACGACCCTATGCTGTTTCCGTGTATAAAGATGTATCCATGTCTCTTGTCTCCTAGTCCCTGACTGGTTTTGCCTTGGTGGTGAGCACAGATGGGTTGATATTCTACGTCTCCACCTCCATTGTTGACTACCTGGGCTTTCATCAGGTATGTTATAATCACATCACTTTGTATTCTCAAATTGTGTATTATGACTCATCAAAATGGTCCTAATTATTGAGGGTAAATTATAAATAATTAAAGTAAATTAGTTGAAATACAGTACCATTGTACAAGCCTTTAATAAAAAATTACATTCTGAGGAAAAATTGTACAGCATTGTAGAACGGGTTTAAAGTAAAACCACCAACGATAGAAAATGCAACAAAATGTACACTTTGTTTTTAATGCAAAGCCATGATGCCCTTTTAGTCATTAAATGAAACAAGACAGAAATCTAAATATGGTTGTATGAAACAGATGACCAAGTCAATAGTTGAAAATAGCCAGTTGTTTAATTCACAGGATTTTAATGACAATATGAGTTGTAAGTAAACAGAGCTTACTTCATTTACTTCACGAGTTTGTAACTGTCCTTTTTGAGTGAATAGCTTTCTATTGGGCCTCATTAAAGTGTGGGTTTTAACATGGGAAGGAGACAAAAGAGACTGTTGATCGCTTCTCTGATGCTCAACAATACGGGTGTTTCACAGGGCAATCGTTCAAAGCGTTGCGTGCAACAGAAGCAGATATATTTGGGACGGTTGAATACTTTAGCTGGGAGTCTGTCATTTTATGAACAGTGGGTATAGCTGGAGATGGAAAAAACAAGAGGAATTACGAGTGTGGGCTGGGATTTCATCAGGGTAGCGTTGCATCTGTCCTCATGCAAGCAGCTCTGGTGTCACGCAAAGCACAAACAAGGCAGCGAGGAGGGCTTCCCACTATCCCACCGACTGAGGAGAGGGGAGGCCGGGCCCTATATTATAAATGCAAACTGTAGGGAGTCATAACTCATTACTCACTGATTCAACTGTTGTCACCAATTACCCTGCTGTGATAAAAAGTCATTAGTAATTACTCAACGTTTTCACTATCTACTTCTCAGTTTTATTGATTTAAGTTATTATTTATAGATCTTTGACTGGCAAACAGTCAAACAAAGCAGTTTGATATTACTGGATGCACTCAGTAATGATCCCACAGTTAAACTCTTTATACATTCAGACTTTTTTTTCTTCAGTTCTAAGCTTTTCTGTTACAAAATCATTCCATACAATTTTTAGAAAAAAGTGTATGATGTGTATAGAACCCAGATCTCCCGTGTAGACCTAACTGATGGAGAGGAATGCTGAGTGAACTCCGTCAGTTACAGAAGGCCTTCCAGAGGCTCCCTCCTGGTCAGCGGGGGGGAATAGAAAAACAGAAGTTTAAGTTCTCAGTGGGCTCGCTGCAGGCTGACACTTGCAGTGTCTGTCCAGATATCACTATGGCTTCTAACCATAGACTCGCTTCACCCGACCGTGACACAGGTTAAGTGGGGAGGTCACTGTGTTGGCCAAACACAATCAACAGTCCTAATGTGGGGGTTAATTGGTTGTTTGGTGACTTGTTCCCCCTTCTCTTCCCCTCTCCCTCTCCTCCCCCACAGACGGATGTGATGCACCAGAATGTATTTGATTATATACATGTGGAGGAGCGGCAGGAGTTCAGAAGACAGCTCCACTGGGCCATGAACCCCGGGCACCAGGGGGCGTCCCTGGACCAGCACTCAGCCACAGTAACTGGTGTGTAGATAATTACCTCTGTCACTCTGAGGAGCAGCTAAACACTGCTGGAAAACCCCTCATCTTCACATGCAACTTGTCATTTAGATGAGTTTCCATTTATGACCATTTTGAAGAGGGACACAAGGGTTAGTATATTAGTTATTGCATAAAAGACACAGACAGAAAGAGAGGATACTGTATTTAATTTGTACTTTGCAATACTATCCTAAAACCTCTCACAGTAATATTGGTGGTTAGAAGACCAAAACAAATAGAATGGATTGTATTTATTAAATAGGTTGTACTAACAGAAATGCTGTGGCTGTCCTGTAGGTGATGACTTTGTGATGAGCAGTCTCTTTAACGCCCTGGAGCCTGACAGTGTTCCTCTAGAGCTCACCTCCTGCCTGACTCGCTGTTTCATCGCCCGGGTCCGATGTCTATTGGACAGCACCTCAGGCTTTCTGGTGAGTGAGTACCGCGGCTCGCACAAGTATCTGGCAATATCAACTCTTACCATCGTCATTGACCATGATGCGCAACACAGTATGAAGTCAGTTCTGGATTGTGGGAGTTATATTCAGTTATGTATGTGCACCTGCTCTTTGGGGGTCTAGGTAAGGTTACTGTTACTGTAAAGCACAGATACATTAAAGATATCTGTTGATGTAAAAAGTGTTTTATAGATAACTTTGATTGATTGATTGATTGATGGATGTTTTGGCAGAGCATGCAGTTCCAGGGCAGCCTGAAGTTCCTGCAGGGCCAGAAGAAGAAGACAGAGTCCGGGGCGCTGCTGCCTCCCCAGCTGGCCCTGTTCTGTGTGGCCGTGCCCCTCATGATACCCTCAATCACAGAGCTGAAGATGAAGAACATGATGGCCAGGAGCATGAACAAGGGCCCCATCATCACCACACCGGATAAGCACAGGTAAGCACTGTAGGAGTGGTGTGCATGGGGAGAGCTGAGCAGTGAGCACTCTTCTTCAAATAATGTGTGTCTATATCATGTTTTAACTCAACTTTATAAAGGAGCCAGGCATGGACAACATTTAGTTTACTATCAATTTACAATTCAAGACACATGTTTATTACACCATCAATTTCAGAATCAAATCACTGTGTATGCTGAATTTGGTCAAATTAGTACTTCATACTGTACACAACTAGCAGATGATATAATGCATACATGACCATAGATATGTTTTCCTTAGACATTTCCCCCAAATCATGGAATGATGTCTGTAATCTCTGTTTTATGTTCCCACAGTGACAAGAGGCATCGCTCCTCCAGAGGCTCATATGACAGCAGTGACTTACTGCTTCTGAATTGGTCCAGCAGCGCTACCAGAGACCCCTGCCACTACACCCCATGGACACCCCTCTCCAAAGACGGCATCAGGTACAAGAACGACAGCTACTACACCCAGGAGGAGCCCCTAAACTTCTGTCTGTCCTCCATGAGTGGTGGGCCCAAAGCTCAGAGCATGGATCATCCATGGGACATCCGCACAGGGTCCGCCATACGAAAGGGCCCCAGCGGCAGCTACACACCAGGCAGACAAGGCAAGTACAATCACCTGGGTAAGACTGGATCCTACAGGATGTCTCCAGGATATCACGCTAACAGACAGGATGCATCTCAGAACAAGCTGAACGGAGGCCTCCACAGCCCTGGGGTGGAGAGCTACTGCGAGGATGGCATGAAGACAGACAACAGGTACATGGGCGGCCATCTTGACTGTTATAACGACATGGTGTTGCCTGAGACGGCCATAAAAACAGAGCAGGACTCTGACTCAGAGAACGGTTGCAACATCTACGGCATGCCCCACAATGGAGCCTGGGTGGGGAACGAGAAGCGCTACATGGGCTACTCAGAAGAACCACAGGTGAAGTCAGAGGCTGACTACTATGAACAATACACCACCTGCCAAAAGAACAAGACCAGCATGAGCCCAATGCTCAACGGCCACCATAAATACTTATATACAGCGGTGAACAGGGCTCAGAAGGATCATAGGATACCTCACTCAGACCCTCTGTGTAGCAGTCAGGGAGAAAACTGTATGGACATCAGTGTATATGGGAATGATACTGTAGAGTATAAAGGCTACATGCAGCAAGACAACAAACTGAACTACGAGTTCAGGAATCACCTGGTCCACACTATAAAGAGGGAACCCATGGACTCGCCTCCTTGGTCTGACAGTGGCCATGACATTAGCCAAATACCCATGCAGAGAAATATGATTCCCAACTCTGCAATGAATGCTATTGTATACAAACCAAACCCATATATTTACATGCAATGAGCTCAAGGGACAATCTCAAAAAACATCTGGATTCCACCTGGCTTCTTTATTGTACTGATGCGTAAAATAGCAGGGTGGGTAGTTATTTACAGTGAGGGAAAAAAGTATTTGATCCCCTGCTGATTTTGTATGTTTGCCCACTGACAAAGAATTGATCAGTCTATAATTTTAATGGTAGGTTTATTTGAGCAGTGAGAGACAGAATAACAAAAAAAAAATCCAGAAAAACACATGTCAGAAATGTTATAAATTGATTTGCATTTTAATGAGGGAAATAAGTATTTGACCCCCTCTCAATCAGAAAGATTTCTGGCTCCCAGGTGTCTTTTATACAGGTAACGAGCTGAGATTAGGAGCACACTCTTAAAGGGAGTGCTCCTAATCTAAGCTTGTTACCTGTATAAAAGACACATGTCCACAGAAGCAATCAATCAATCAGATTTCAAACTCTCCACCATGGCCAAGACCAAAGAGCTCTCCAAGGATGTCAGGGACAAGATTGTAGACCTACACAAGGCTGGAATGGGCTACAAGACCATCGCCAAGCAGCTTGGTGAGAAGGTGATGGTGATATTCGCAAATGGAAGAAACACAAAATAACTGTCAATCTCCCTTGGCCTGGGGCTCCATGCAAGATCTCACCTCGTGGAGTTGCAATGATCATGAGAACGGTGAGGAATCAGCCCAGAACTACACTGGAGGATCTTGTCAATGATCTCAAGGCAGTTGGGACCGTAGTCACCAAGAAAACAATTGGTAACACACTACGCTGTGAAGGACTGAAATCCTGCAGCGCCAGCAAGGTCCCCCTGCTCAAGAAAGCATATATACAGGGCCGTCTGAAGTCTGCCAATGAACATCTGAATGATTCAGAGGAGAACTGGGTGAAAGTGTTGTGGTCAGATGAGACCAAAATCGAGCTCTTTGGCATCAACTCAACTCGCCGTGTTTGGAGGAGGAGGAATGCTGCCTATGACCCCAAGAACACCATCCCCACCGTCAAACATGGAGGTGGAAACATTATTATGCTTTGGGGGTGTTTCTCTGCTAAGGCGACAGGACAACTTCACCGCATCAAAGGGACGATGGACGGGGCCATGTACCGTCAAATCTTGGGTGAGAACCTCCTTCCCTCAGCCAGGGCATTGAAAATGGGTTGTGGATGGGTATTCCAGCATGACAATGACCCAAAACACACGGTCAAGGCAACAAAGGAGTGGCTCAAGAAGAAGCACATTAAGGTCCTGGAGTGGCCTAGCCAGTCTCCAGACCTTAATCCCATAGAAGATCTGTGGAGGGAACTGAAGGTTCTAGTTGCCAAACATCAGCCTCGAAACCTTAATGACTTGGAGAAGATCTGCAAAGAGGAGTGGGACAAAATCCCTCCTGAGATGTGTGCAAACCTGGTGGCCAACTACAAGAAACGTCTGACCTCTGTGATTGCCAACAAGGCTTTTGCCACCAAGTACTAAGTCATGTTTTGCAGAGGGGTCAAATACTTATTTCCCTCATTAAAATGCAAATCAATTTATAACATTTTTGACATGCGTTTTTCTCTCACTGTTCAAATAAACCTACCATTAAAATTATAGACTGATCATGTCTTTGTCAGTGGGCAAACGTACAAAATCAGCAGGGGATCAAATACTTTTTTCCCTCACTGTATACTCAACTCAGATAATCAACAGTGTTACCAAGCAGAAAGATATGGAAGCAATGGAGAGATGTTTTTATATGACATGAACAGAAGCATGACATGCAGAACATGCTGCAATTCACATGAGTTCTAGATTTGTTTTTAAACACATTTCATAACTTCTCGTTTTTAAACCAAGACATGTCATCCGTCATATCAAATTAACTGTATTTCTATTCAATGCATTTTACCGCAAAGGGAACAGAAAAGACATGCATTGATTAAATAAATGAAATTTATTTTGATTGATTATTCAGATTAACATAAAAATCCTGCTCATTTCTTTGCTTTGGTTTATAATGTGATTGATGCTTCAATGTCCATTGAGTCATTACCCTTTATGAATGAGATACTGTATCTTCATTGTTATTATTATTTGACTGGTTGAATTAATGTATTATTTTAACAGTGAGTTTGTCCGTTTTGTCTTATGAAACAGTGTTACAAATTGAAATTAAACAAAGCTTCACCTAACAGCCATTTACACACATTAATGTCTAAGATGCTCTCTGAACATAATAAATAATAATAATAATAATATGCCATTTAGCAGACGCTTTTATCCAAAGCGACTTACAGTCGTGCGTGCATACATTTTTGTGTATGGGTGGTCCCGGGGATCGAACCCACTACCTTGGCGTTACAAGCGCCGTGCTCTACCAGCTGAGCTACAGAGGACCACAATAATAATGTAAACATGTATTACACAGAAATACTGTTCATTTAGGTTTGTGGTCCAATGTAATATTATTTATCAATGTTTGTAAAATTGTAGTACATTCAAAAGAAATGTTAGCAACTGTAGTTCTGCTTTATGAAGCCAGTTTGTTATTATATTTTGAAAAGGAAAAAATATTTGAAACTATGACATGTCCCCTTATGTATTCCATAGCTGCATGCAGCAGTCTCTACAGCATTATTTTATTCTGTTTGATTTTTTAAAAAGCTTTCCAAGCTCTTTCGCTTTCATTTGTCTTTCTTTAAAACTATTATGCTAATGTTTTTAATGGATTTCCTGACTTCTTTTTAACAACTGTTGGTAACGCTTTTTATTGTGAGTACTGTACACTGAACAGGAGAGAAACAAAAGGTTTATAGCAATATATTGAACCAATGAATAAATAGAACAACCTGCTTGTTGCACTGTAGGATACATTTTACAGGCATACAAGTTTCAGATATCAATTGAATTCAATAGGCATCTAACATTATACTTTCTTGTTATTTAGCATAATAAAATCATAAAACAAGTGCAGATTATTATCTTATTTATTTGAACACTGAAAAGATTAATAAAATGCTGGATACAGGTCTCCATACAAAAAGAAAGCTATGATATTTATTAGGATTTGTCTTCAAATAAACACTATAAACGCCACAAACTGCGCATGTGCAGACCGTCAAATCAAAGCCACTCATTCGATATAAAGTTGTTTTTGACGAAAATGAAAACGTATCAGTTTGTCACTCACACGAGGTTGTAGTAATACCAAGTTCTACTTAAGACATTGTCTCGAATCTAGATTGTGCCTTTCGATTTTGAGAAAATTAACAACTAAGGAAGAATTGTTCACTTATCTTAATGACTTATCATACCCCAAACCCCGGTCTGGTCTGTTTGCCAAGCGTTCCCGGAAGTCTCACGATGTTACGTCTCTGGGTTTAGAAACTCTGTGTCATAGCTAATGACTTGTATGTATAGAAAACAACGGGAACATAAAATAAAGTTGTGAGAAATTGCATACTCTGCCAAAAATCGCGCACACATGATGCTCTCAAGCGCGATGTGCTGTCAGCTGCTACTGGGGCGGCGCACGAGAACGGTCAACCAGGAACTGAACCAGGAGAAGCAGTCGATGGTGTTGTTGGAATTGATATGAGATAATTTGAACGACAGCTTACTTATTCAAACGTATTATTGGAGTTGGTAAGATATTGGATTTGTTAATTTTACATTTAAAATTAGTTTTGTATACGGGATAGCGTTGTGTTTACGGATTGGGCTGTGTGTGTGTCCTTCGCTCTCGCCGACCTCGGAAACGTTAGCTAGCTAGGCTGCTAGCTGTCATGCATACCATTAAAATGGGCTGCTTGCTAGCTAGTCAATATGGGAGAGACTATAAGCACACAGATTACGCTTAAACCGGCTAGCAAAAACCTAAAACTGACCCTTAACTTACCTTAACCAAACCCTTAACCCTGACCCTAACCAAATGTTTATACATTCTGAAATGAAAGATCGGTTTGGGCGTCAGCCGTGTCCTTTAGCCTTTTCCAGTCAATATAACGTTAGCTAGCTACTGTACTCCAGTAAAATGCATTTGAGGAGAGACATTTGACTTTGCTTGCCAGCTAGTAGTAGTAGTAGTAGTAGTAGAAAGCTAGATAACGTTATGCCAGCAAGTAGCGTTAGCCAAGGCAGCTAAACGTTAGCGAGCAGGCTAGCTAAACCCGATGCAATGCAATGGGCACTCACCTCACAGGCACTGTTAGTATTAATGGATTAATAACGCAATCGACCTGATACAGTGCCTTGCAACATTTTCGTCGTAATCACAACGTGTAACGTTCAGTTTTGTGAGCATCTTGATCTTTGACAGACCCAGCTTGGCGGCGTTGTCATGGAGGAGACAAACAGGGAGGCTGTTGCTACGGCCGTGCAGAGGGTGGCAGGGATGCTGCAGCGCTCAGACCAGTTGGACAAAGTAGAGCAGTACCGCCGGCGAGAGGCCCGCAAGAAAGCTTCAGTAGAAGCCCGACTGAAGGTAGAAAATGATGATGATGCTAAGAAGACATGAGATACATTCTGTAATTCCCTATTTTTCATAAAGCTTTAGTCAGAATGAGATCTGTATATGTATTGTAAATACATGGCTCAGGCCTGAAACACCTTACCTCTCCCCAGGCTGCCATCCAGTCCCAGTTGGACGGGGTCCGCACAGGGCTCAGTCAGCTCCATAATGCCCTGGGAGATGTCAAGGACATACAGAGCTCCCTGGCAGACGTCAGTAAGGACTGGAGGCAGAGTATTAACACTATTGAGAACCTGAAAGATGTGAAAGATGCCGTGGTCCAACACAGTCAGCTTGCCTCAGCTGTCGAGAATTTAAAGAATATCTTCTCAGGTACGCTGCACAACTACTACATGTACCTCAGAGATACCATTCAATTGGGAACTGTTATTGTTGTCTCGCTTTTCATTTGTGTGCATTGAATGTACTGTTACGAAGTATTAATGTACAGTCAGGTACATCATTATTGGCACCATGATAAAGATTAGCAAAAAATACTGTATCAAATAAAGAATACAAATTCTGAGCTATATTGTATGCAAAGAAAAAGGTAAATTATATTATTTTATACTAATACAATTGCTTAGAGAAAGAGATTCTGTTGAACAAGTAAAAAAACCGATCTCAAAGATAGAGGTCAAAATTATTGGCACCCCTGTTTTCAATACTATAGCACCCTCCCCTTGTGAGGATAACAACCCTTTTTTTAAAGGTTTTATGAGATTGGAGAACACGTTGGGAGGAGTATTCCTCCATAAAGAATCTTTCCAGATCCTTGATATCCTTCGTCTGCTCTTATGGACTGCCCTTGTCAATTCACACCACAGGTTTTCACTGGGGTTCAAGTCCGGAGACTGAGATGGCCATTACAAAATGTAGATTTTTGTTGTCAATTAACCATTTATTTGTGGATTTTGATTAGTGCTTGGGGTTATTGTCTTGCTGGAAGATTCAGTTGCGGCCACGTGTCAGCCTCCTAGCAGAGGCAACCAGGTTTGGTACTGAGTAAAGTTCATGATGGCGTTGACCCCAGGACCAGTGGAAGCAAAATAGCCCCATAACATAAAATATGCACCATCATATTTTACCGTAGGTATCAGGTACTTTACTGCATATGCTTCTGTTTTTCAACGCCAAACACTGACCATCTGACCATAGCACCGGTTTCAATCCAAGTGCCAATGCCTTTTACAAACTCCAGGTGGTGTTATGGTCAGATTACATGAAAATAGAGCTCTTTTGCATCGCACGCCAGTGGTGGGTTTGGCATAGAAAAACGGAATCATATGCAGAAGTAACTCATACCTACGGTTAACATTTGGTGGTGCATCATGAACTATACCAAGTACCAGGACATTTTAGCCCAAAACCTGGTTGCCTATGCCAGGAGGCTGACACTTCGTCGCAAGTGGATCTTCCAGCAAGACAACCCGAAGCACACATCAAAATCCACAAAGAAATGGTTAATTGGCCACAAAATCAACATTTTGCAATGGCCATCTCAGTCTCTGGACTTGAACCACTCTAATCTCATAAAACATTTTAGAAAAAGTCTGTGTCGTTATCCTCATGGGGAGGGTGCTGGAGTATTGAAAACGGGTGCCAATTATTTTGACCACTATCTTTTTAGATGTTTTCATTGTTTGTTAAACTAAATCTATTTTTCTGAGCAATTGTATTAATATAAAATAATATAATTAGCACATTCTTTAGCGCATGCAATATAGCTCAGTATTATTTATTTTATACAGTCTTTTTTTCTCATCTTTATCAAGGGTGCCAATTATTATCGACCTTGCTGTATATCATTCCCCTTCTGTGCAGTGCCTGAGATAGTGGCAGACACCCAGGTGCTGATTGAGCAGGCCGAGCTGCTGGAGGCCCACCGTAAACTCATGGATCTGGAGTGCTCGCGGGACGACCTCATGTATGAGCAGTACCGAATGGACAGCAAAAACACGCACGACATGAACCTGATCCGCAACTATTTTGGCGCGGTGCAGGGCCTGTCTGATGACCTGGCCAAGCAGCTGTGGATGGTGCTGCAGCGTGCCATGGGCACAGTGCGCCGTGACCCCACCATGCTGGTTTCAGTGGTGCGCATCATCGAGCGTGAGGAGAAGATTGACCGGCGCATGCTGGACCGCATGAAGCAGTCGGGCTTTATCCCCCCGAGTCGGCCCAAGCGCTGGAAAGAGAAGATGTTTGAGGTGCTGGAGGGCACAGTCACCACGCGCATCGAGGGCAGCCAGTCGGTTACGCGCGAGGCAGACAAGATGTGGATGGTGAGGCTCCTGGAGATCACCAGGAAGTACGTGCTGGACGACCTGATTGTGGTGAAGAACCTGATGGTGCAGTGCTTCCCACCACACTACAACACCTTCGACAGGTTCTTTAAGCTGTACCACAATGCCGTGTCCATGCGGGTGCAGGAGCTGGCTGCAGAAGACCTGGAGGCCAACGAGATCGTGTCCCTCCTCACCTGGGTCCTCAACACATACAAAAGGTATCCTTTCTCAGCCCGTATTCACAAAAGTCTCAAAGTAGGAGGGCTGGTATAGGATCAGTTTTGTCTTTTAGATCATATTGAATAAGATTAGGCTATACCTAGATCGGCTCTCCTACTTTGAGACACTTTTTGAAAACAGGTCAGGCTCTGATCTGTCCTCTGTGGCTCATGTAGCATCAGTGGTAAATGGGCACCAGTCCAATCATAGCTCAGTGGAATATGCAGGAAGTGTAGTACATCATCTTTGTGCTGCTGAGCCTCAGTCACCTCTCTACCAGCTTAGACTGCTGAATATCTTTGAGAGAGAGAGATCACAATGTAAAGATGTTGACCTATACCTACAGGGATAGTTCACCCAAATTACAAAAATCTAACTGTAAGCAGTATGGACAAGGTATGACAGAAATCCATGCTTTGGTTTAGTTTACCTGACACTATTTACAAATGCTAACATTTTAGCATTTGTGGCACAAATCCCATTAAAGTCATGGTACCAATATAAGAATCTATAAGTAACTTTGCTGAGCTTTACATTTAATATTAGATACTTTCAGATGAAAAATGCTAATATTGGTACCATGACTTGAATGGGATCTGTGCCACAAATGCAAAAACATTAGCATTTGAAAACAGTGCCAGGGAAACTAAACCAAAGCATGGATTGCTTTCATACCTTATCAATAGACTGCTTACAGGAAACCAATATGTCATTTTGTAATTTGGGTGAACTATCCCTTTAACCTCTCCTCATTTGTGTGTGGAGTGTTTCTCAAAATCATTAAAATTATGTAGGAAGAACAGTGGCACGGAAATACTTTGGTACTCTCCATATATGGGAAGGACTTGTAAGCGCTGCAAAGAGCAATAAACTCAATATTTAAAGCTAAACAGTCCCTAGGCACGAGAGGGAGGGCATAGCATGCAATCTAAGCAAAACTGGTGTAGATAATCCAATGAATGCACATACTACTGCACATCGCGTGCACCGACAGTATTGAACGGAGAACGATTCATGTACTGCTCACAAAGAACTAGCCTCATATCCATTTCTGACACAAGCATCAGCCAGCAGCTACCATGGAAACCACAACCACTGATTGGATGAGGCTGTGTAATTATAGAATTATAGATCACTTATACTCATACTGATTTTCTGTGAATGAGTGTGTGTTTCTGAGTATGTGTGTGTTTACGTGTGACTGCTTGTGAGTAGCCTATGTTTATAGGTATCTGTGTGTATAATATGGATTCGGGCATTGCCGTGAGTGCAGGTGCGCGAGCATGCCATGGTGTGTAAGTCTCTCTTTAGCTGTCTGTCTGTTACATTAAAATACATGGAATATATGAATTCCACAGACAGTACAGGCAGGGCTCTCTTGGCATGTTCTCATACCCCACTGTGTTTATCATTTCCAGTGTGGAGATGATGGGTCACCCAGAGCTGTTGACAGAGTATGACATCCACCTGATGGATCCTCTGCTGCCTCAGAAGGTGGTGGATGAGCTTCTCAGCAAATACGTCCAGACCTTCACTGTGAGTCCAGCCAACACACTCTATGATAGCAGCTACATACTCTATCTTGTCAGATATACAGATATACAACTCACTCTCTGCATCAGTAGACAAATGAAATGTGTCATGAATTATTAAAGACAAAGGTAACATGGCTCTGGCTGACTCTCTCTCACCCTTCCACAGTCCAACATCACTGGCTGGCTTCGCAAGGCTCTGGAGACAGACAAGAAGGACTGGTTTAAAGAGACTGAACCAGAGGCGGATCAAGACGGATACTACCAGACCACCCTCCCCGCCATCGTCTTCCAGGTATAACCAGTATTCCTCTCTGGCATCAGCCTGAATCTCTTTAACCCACTGGACTAAGTGGACTAGTTGCTACTACAGTACAGTTACTATACTAGACAATGTGTATATGACAAAAATAAATTGGGATCTGAGAATTACAGTGATGTCACTAGTGTGTACTGTAAGTCTATTGGAAGGGGGGCCATCATCTGACATGTTTGTTTTTCTCTCCTCATCAGATGTTTGAGCAGAATCTCCAAGTGGCAGCTCAGATCGACGAGACCTTCAAAGAGGAGGTCCTGAAGCTCTGTTTAAAACAGATGAATTCATTCCTCATCAGGTAACATGGATTTCATAATGTTGTGTTTAATAATTGTTTAGTGATTAGTCGTTTACATTGATGGCAGTAAAGGTGTGTTACAGTGTATCAGGGATGGATTGCTATGTATATGACATCTACAATTGTCTTGTACTGCTGTTCAGGTACAGGGAAGAGGCGATCGCCTACAAGGAGGACCACTTGCGAGACCGGCAGCTCCCTCAGTGCTACGTCCAATACATGATCGCCATTATAAACAACTGTCATACATTCAAGTGAGTCCCATTGACATCTCCCTGTAAATATTAATGTCTTCTCTAACCTAATGCGGCTAATATATACCTGACCGTACCTCTGCCACTAGGGAGTCTATTAACAGTCTAAAGAGGAAATACTTGAAATCCACGGAGCCCACCCAGAATGATGCTGCCATAGAGAGGACCCTGAACGACGTGGCCAAAGATGGCTGCCAGTTTCTACTCGATGAAGTATTCCTGGATTTGGAGGTTAGAGCGAAGTGTTTGTGGACATATTTTAAGCTCTTTAGTTACTCTTATAGTCTAATATTTGACAGAATGTTGCCACGAACCTGGTTATGTTGTATCTGAGTGGTGATTTTGAGCTCCACAGCATCATCTCAGTGAGTTGCTGACCCGGAAGTGGTTGACGGGGACCCATGCAGTGGACACAATCTGTGTGACCGTCGATGATTACTTCAACGACTTCGCCAAGATCAAGAAGCCTTTCAATACGGTACATGGAAAAATTAATCAAATCATATCAAATGAGAGGCTTGGACAATTGATTGATCTGGAGAAATCCACACAGAGAGCAGTTTTGCATGTACAAATTGATAGTGGTAATCCTGTGTATTTGACTGAGTATGTTGTATGTGATGTGTTTAGGAGATGACCAGCGAGGCCCATCGCAGGGTGGTGGTGGAGTATATCAAGGCTGTGATGCAGAAACGGATCACCTTCAAGAATGCAGATGAGAGGAGGGAGGGAGCAGATAGGATGATTAAGGAGGCTGAGCAGTTCAAGTTCCTCTTCAGGAAACTCACTGCTGTGAGTGTTTCTTTTCTTCTTCCTTGTTTTTTTTTTTAGTCATTTAGCACACGCTCTTATCCGGAGCGACTTACAGGAGCAATTAGGGTTAAGTGCCTTGCTCAAGGGCACATCGATAGATTTTTCACCTAGTCGGCTCGGGGATTAGAACCAGCGACCTTTCGGTTACTGGCACAATGCTCTTAACCACTAAGCTACCTGCCTACATGCATCTTGATCTGGTCTTTCAGTAAATAGTTAGTCATAACTTCCTTAAGTCTTGATACTTACGATTCATTTTTCATTTTTGATGTAATGAAAACTGCTTTTCTCTGATAAGTCCATACACTGATACTGTTACTGATTTTTACAGTTTGTTTGTTTTGTCTCTATTCTGCTCCAGGGTGAGGAGACTGACCGGCTGTGTGATGCCATCGCTGCTATAGCTGAGGTGTTTAAACTCACAGACCCCACCCTGCTGTACCTGGAGGTCTCCACGCTGGTGTCCAAATACCCTGACATCAGGTCAGATCATACACAACTTAACACATAGGCTACACAGTAAATGAATGTTAGTGGGGTATCAAGGTTTTCAATATAATAACTTTGGCTGTAGGAGAAGTTACTTCAGATGTACACTGCTCAAAAAAATAAAGGGAACACTAAAATAACACATCCTAGATCTGAATGAATGAAATAATGTTATTAAATACTTTTTTCTTTACATAGTTGAATGTGCTGACAACAAAATCACACAAAAATTATCAATGGAAATCAAATGTATCAACCCATGGAGGTCTGGATTTGGAGTCACCCTCAAAATTAAAGTGGAAAACCACACTACAGGCTGATCCAACTTTGATGCTCAGTAGTGTGTGTGGCCTCCACGTGCCTGTATGACCTCCCTACAACGCCTGGGCATGCTCCTGATGAGGTGGCGGATGGTCTCCTGAGGGATCTCCTCCCAGACCTGGACTAAAGCATCCGCCAACTCCTGGACAGTCTGTGGTGCAACGTGGCATTGGTGGATGGAGCGAGACATGATGTCCCAGATGTGCTCAATTGGATTCAGGTCTGGGGAACGGGCGGGCCAGTCCATAGCATCAATGCCTTCCTCTTGCAGGAACTGCTGACACACTCCAGCCACATGAGGTCTAGCATTGTCTTGCATTAGGAGGAACCCAGGGCCAACCGCACCAGCATATGGTCTCACAAGGGGTCTGAGGATCTCATCTCGGTACCTAATGGCAGTCAGGCTACCTCTGGCGAGCACATGGAGGGCTGTGCGGTCCCCCAAAGAAATGCCACCCCACACCATGACTGACCCACCGCCAAACCGGTCATGCTGGAGGATGTTGCAGGCAGCAGAACGTTCTCCACGGCGTCTCCAGACTCTGTCACGTCTGTCACGTACTCAGTGTGAACCTGCTTTCATCTGTGAAGAGCACAGGGCACCAGTGGCGAATTTTCCAATCTTGGTGTTCTCTGGCAAATGCCAAACGTCCTGCACGGTGTTGGGCTGTAAGCACAACCCCCACCTGTGGACGTCGGGCCCTCATACCACCCTCATGGAGTCTGTTTCTGACCGTTTGAGCAGACACATGCACATTTGTGGCCTGCTGGAGGTCATTTTGCAGGGCTCTGGCAGTGCTCCTCCTGCTCCTCCTTGCACAAAGGCGGAGGTAGCAGTCCTGCTGCTGGGTTGTTGCCCTCCTACGGCCTCCTCCACGTCTCCTGATGTACTGGCCTGTCTCCTGGTAGCGGCTCCATGCTCTGGACACTACGCTGACAGACACAGCAAACCTTCTTGCCACAGCTCGCATTGATGTGCCATCCTGGATGAGCTGCACTACCTGAGCCACTTATGTGGGTTGTAGACTCCGTCTCATGCTACCACTAGAGTGGAAGCACCGCCAGCATTCAAAAGTGACCAAAACATCAGCCAGGAAGCATAGGAACTGAGAAGTGGTCTGTGGTCACCACCTGCAAAACCAGTCCTTTATTGGGGGTGTCTTGCTAATTGCCTATAATTTCCACCTATTGTCTATTCCATTTGCACAACAGCATGTGAAATGTATTGTCAATCAGTGTTGCTTCCTAAGTGGACAGTTTGATTTCACAGAAGTGTGATTGACTTGGAGTTACATTGTGTTGTTTAAGTGTTCCCTTTATTTTTTTGAGCAGTGTATAAGATACACTACATAACCAAAAGTATGTGGACACCTGCTCGTCGAACATCTCATTCCAAAATCATGGACATTAATATGGTGTTGGACCACCCTGTGCTGCTATAACAGCCTCCACTCTTCTGGGAAGGCTTTCCACTAGATGTTGGAACATTGCTGCGTGGACTTACATTTACATTTACATTTTAGTCATTTAGCAGACGCTCTTATCCAGAGCGACTTACAGGAGCAATTAGGGTTAAGTGCCTTGCTCAAGGGCACATTTACGTCATTTAGCAGACGCTCTTATCCAGAGCGACTCACAAATTGGTGCATTCACCCTATAGCCAGTGGGATAACCACTTTACAATTTTTTTTGGGGGGGGGTGAGTGACTCCGCTGTCCTGGCGTCGTGAGGGAGCTTGTTCCACCATTGGGGTGCCAGAGCAGCGAACAGTTTTGACTGGGCTGAGCGGGAACTATGCTTCCGCAGAGGAAGGGGAGCCAGCAGGCCAGAGGTGGATGAACGCAATGCCCTCGTTTGGGTGTAGGGACTGATCAGAGCCCGAAGGTACAGAGGTGCCGTTCCCCTCACTGCTCCATAGGCAAGCACCATGGTCTTGTAACGGATGCGAGCTTCAACTGGAAGCCAGTGGAGTGTGCGGAGGAGGGGGGTGACGTGAGAGAACTTGGGAAGGTTGAACACCAGACGGGCTGCGGCATTCTGGATGAGTTGTAGGGGTTTAATGGCACAGGCAGGGAGGCCAGCCAACAGCGAGTTGCAGTAATCCAGACGGTGTGGAATCCACTTGGGAGAGATGAGGATTCCTGTGCCACCACCCCGCTGACCAGATGCTCTCGGGGTATGCGAGAACACATGGTCAGACGAGGAGAGAGCAGTAGGAGTAGCAGTGTTTTCAGTGGTAATCCATGTTTCCGTCAGCGCCAGGAAGTCGAGGGACTGGAGGTTAGCATAGGCTGGGATGAAGTCAGCTTTGTTGGCAGCAGAACGGCAGTTCCAGAGGCTGCCTGAGACCTGGAACTCCAGGTGTGGGGTGCGTGCAGGGACCACCAGGTTAGAGAGGCAGCAGCCACGCGGTGTGAGGCGTTTGTGTAGCCTGTGCAGAGAGGAGAGAACAGGGATAGGCAGAGGCATAGTTGACAGTCTGTAGCAAATGGCTACAATAATGCAGAGGAGATCGGAATGAAATGAACTAAACATCTGGGAGAGGAGAGAGCAGGGCCTCCCTCACCAAAACTTCCACCTCAGAAACTATAATTGTTTCACTGAACCACCCGAACAAAAACTCTCCCAACTTCCACCTTTAGAAATCAGAATTGTTGTGAACCACAGCGGTTCAATGTTTAAAGGAATAGACTCAACCCACTTTATTCAGCTAGCTAACTATGACACCATAGCTAACTAGCATGCTAGCATCCAATAACACACAGTTTAGCACCAACACTTGGTCACAACAAACCACCAATAGTGTGTTGACACACTAAGCAGATAATTCGTGTCCGTGTCTAGTTCCTTTCATAACGCAGCAATAATTCAACGTTGGCTAGCTTAGCACAAATATATTGTATTTAGCTGCCACAGTACAGCACACAATGGCTACTGTGTTGACTCTGTTCGACTTGCTTCCATTCAGCCACAAGCATTAGTGAGATCGGGCAATGATGTTGGGCGATTAGGCCTGGCTCGCAGTCGGTGTTCCAATTCATCCCAAAGGTGTTCGATGGGGTTGAGGTCAGGGCTCTGTGCATGCCAGTCAAGTTCTTCCACACCGATCTCGACAAACTATTTCTGTATGGACCTCGCTTTGTGCACGGGGGCATTGTGTCATGCTGAAACAAGAAATGTCCTTCCCCAAACTGTTGCCACAAAGTTTGAAGCACAGAATCGCCTAGAATGTCATTGTATGTCATTTCCCTTCACTGGAACTAAGGGGCCTAGCCCGAACCATGAAAAACAGCCCCAGACCATTATTCCTCCTCCACCAAACTTTACAGTTGGCACTATGCATTGGGGCAAGTAGCGTTCTCCTGGTATCCGCCAAACCCAGATTTGTCCGTCAGACTGCCAGATGGTGAAGCGTGATTCATCACTCCAGAGAATGCATTTCCACTGCTCCAGAGTCCAATGGCAGCGAGCTTTACACCACTCCAGCCGACGCTTGGCATTGCGCATTGTGATCTTAGGCTTGTGTGTGGCTGCTCGGCCATGGAAACCCATTTCATGAAGCTTCCGATGACCAGTTCTTGTACTGACGTTGATCCCAGAGGCAGTTTGGATCTCGGTAGTGAGTGTTGCAACCGAGGACAGACCATTTTTTTTGCGCTCAGCGGTCCTGTTCTGTGACCTTGTGTGGCCTACCACTTCACGGCTGAGCCGTTGCTCCTAGACGTTTCCATTTCACAATAACAACACTTACAGTTGACCGGAGCAGCTCTAGCAGGGCAGAAATTTCACAAACTGTCTTGTTGGGAAGGTGGCATCCTATGACGGTGCCACGTTGAAAGTCACTGAGCTCTTCAGTAAGGCTCAATTTTATATTATGATGGCCATTGTTTTTACCATTGTAGTCTTAATTGATTGCCCTTAAGATTGTCCTTCAGTAAAAAGGTGTCTGATTGTGTCTGTCCTCTGTTGTCCCCATAGGGAGGAGCACATCGTGGCCATACTAGCGGTGAGAGGGGACGCTAGCCGAGAAATGAAGCAGATGATCATTGAGACGCTGAACCAGAACAAGCCTTCCTACGCCGGCAACACCCAGCACATCTTCAAGGACATCACTGTCCCCACCGTGACCATGACCTCCATGTCCTCCTCTATGGCCGCCACTGCCAACAAACTGCTGAAATAAATAACTAAATTCTGGAGAGAGATGGAGACACACCTGGGTCGTATTCATTAATGCACAAAATGATTTGCAACGGGGGGGGGGGGGGGGGGGGGACCGAGTTTGGACAAGTTTGGATAGTCACTCCCTGTTTGTCTTTTTTATATATTGTTTAGTGCCTAGTGATTATGACCCTGGCTCACAAGTGCACAAAAAAAAAACATACTGCAACAAATCATGATTTTTCTTTTCTTTTGCACTTTTGAAACAGATTCCACAGACCTCCAATGAAAGGCTTGGACTGTAGTCCTTGAGGATCTGTAAGCGTATGATACTTGATGAAAGAACCGTCAAACACAACCAATCGGTTTTGTTACTGAAATGAGACCTTGCTCACACCACCCACCCCTCCATGCTTGCTATACAATGAACAGTTTGAAATTGTTTCAGTAAGAAACTCTTTTCAGTGTGTGATGCCGAATGTCTGTCAGAAAATCTATTAAAGAAACCCTTTCCCCTGTCAGTCTGTACATCTGTTTTCCTCATTTACTCTGCTGTCAGGGAGAGGTGTTGACACGCTGAAACAAGCCAAACTACTGCACAGTGCACCCACACTCACATGGAATCATTGAATTGGTTGGCTCATTTGATGGTTGCTGTGAAAAAGCTCCAGTTAAGCCATTACTTTGCAGAAGCCCCTGTCAGCTTACTGCATCCTTCATCATCTCCCTCTGTCTGTGTGTGACTCCACTGCAGCATGCTGCCTCTTGACTTAAAGCAATGATACTCCGCTCTCCCTACCTCTGTAATACCTCTAAATGTTTAATCTGGCTGCACGCTAGCTGTTATGTGACTAGTCGAGCAGTGGAAGGGGTAGGAAGTCACCAACAGCTAGAGGGGACAGTTATCACCCTGGGTAGGGTAGCACAGCCCAATGGAAGGAGAGGCAGAGGGGGAACAGCTGTAGGGGAGGGGAGGGGTGGGACCAGCATTCCCGTGATGATAGTAATCCCTTTTCCAGGACGTTGCGTGACCATTCATAATTGTTATGGGCATTCTACCATTGGCTCTCTGCGACCTTAGAAACACCCACTCCAAGCTGTGATTGGTGTTCGTTTTGAAACGGGGTAGTCCTGTGATATTGATATTTAATTGTAATTTGTATACTTTCATCAGAGTTAAGAAATTAGGTTGTCCCAAACTGAACATTACATTTAAATTTGTAGGAGTAGGTATGATGGGGGTACTAAACATGTCTTTCCAAGTTTTCCATATGCTTCAGTGTGGTCCAATGAGAGGGCTGCATTTGCCATGCTGTGACTGAAAACAAGGCCATGCAGGGCTGCAGCTGACTGGAGCACGCAAGCCTGTGCTCTTGCATGGCACACACACATCAGCAGCTCAAAACCCTGGATTACACACACCCTGCGGGGCCTAGGCACTGGGCTCAAACGAGACTTCTAGCAGCTCCATCACAGAATCATCAGACACTTAACAACTGATCCTCCACTCCTCCTGGTCTTACACACTCAGCTCCAATGGCTGGCTACTAAAGCCTTGCTTTGACTTTGGAGTATTCCAAGAAAACCTCCTAGTGCTAACAGTGTACTGTCTGTGTTCAACAGGATTTCACTGAAGCCAGGATTTACAGTTTTGTAACACAACACCACATATGGCTCAGGTTTTGAGGGAGTGTGCAATTGGCATGCTGACTGCAGGAATGCCCACCAGAGCTGTTGCCAGATAATTAAATGTTAATTTCTCTACCATAAGCCGCCTCCAACTTATTTTTTGAGAATTTGGCAGTACGTCCAACGGGCCTCACAACCGCAGACCACGCATAACCATGCCAGCCCAGGACCTCCACATTCGGCTTCTTCACCTGCGGGATCATCCGAGACCAGCCACCCGGACAGCTGATTGAACTATGTGTTTGCACAACTGAAGAATTTCTGCACAAACTGTCAGAAACCGTCTCAAGGAAGCTCATCTGTGTGCTCGTCGTCCTCACCAGGGTCTTGACCTGACTGCAGTTTGGCGTCGGAACCGACTTCAGTGGGCAAATGCTCACTTTCAGTGGCCACTGGCACGCTGTAGAAGTGTGCTCTTCACGGATGAATCCCGGTTTCAACTGTACTGGGCAGATGGCAGACAGTGTGAATGGCGTCGTGTAGGCGAGCGATTTGCTGATGTCAGCTTTGTGAACAGAGTGCCCCATGGTGGTGTTGGCGTTATGGTATGAGTAGGCATAAGCTACAGACAAAGAACACAATTGCATTTAATCGATGGCAGTTTGAATGCACAGAGATACCACGATGAGATCCTGAGGCCCATTGTTGTGCCATTCATCTGCCACCATCACCTCTTGTTTCAGCATGATAATGCACGGCCTCATGTCGCAAGGATCTGTACACAATTCCTGGAAGCTAAACATTTCCCAGTTCTTCCATGGCCTGCATACTCACCAGACGTCACCCATTGAGCATGTTTGGAATGCTCTGGATTTACGTGTACGACAGCGTGTTCCAGTTCCCGCCAACATCCAGCAACTTTGCACAGGCATCGAAGAGGAGTGGGACAACATTCCACAGGCCACAATCAACAGCCTGATCAACTCTATGCAAAGGAGATGTGTCGAGCTGCATGAGGCAAATAGTGGTCACATTTCAATTGACTGATTTCCTTATATGAACTGTTACTTAGTAACATTTTTGAAATTGTTGAACGTTGCGTTTATATTTTTATTCAGTGTAGATTAACTCAAGTCACAGAGGAAACATGCTCAATGCATTTGGTATGTACATTTTCAATGGGTGGCAGGTTGATTCCCTTTTCTGATTATCTAATTGTTGCAAATGTAGTGAAAGAGGTAATAGGCCTACATCTAGAGGTCTCTGGTTTACACATTTTACTATGCTCCATAAACCTGCACAGAATACTGAATATATGGGATTGTGGGTAACACTTTACTTGACACCCAACATCATAACACGTTATGGACACACAACAGCTGACATAACCTGTCATAATATGGTCATAACACTGTCATGACACGTATATTTAGACATGTGACATATATTACATTATTTTATGGCTGGTTATGACACCTACATAAGAATGTCAAAACCCACAAAACCTACCACACAAGGCAAAACATTCCATTACACCATAGCCTACTTGTCAACAGTATTATTATATAACATTTTCTGAAATTGATCATATTAAATTATCATTGTAATTGCACACAAATTGATGTCAGACATTCACCTACCCCAATGCTCTGTTGCTGATGACTGGGATGAATGCAGGAACAGATTTCAGGAGCAGGACAAGACACCCTCTTTGTGACTGATGACTGACATAAGGGCATGTGCTGTATGTGATAGGCCTATCTGGCTTATATGATTATGATGGTCATAATGCTTCTTGACAGTGTCAAAGTGCATTTTCTTAGTCCAAGTAAAGTGACACAGGATGGTCATAATGCTTCATCACAGTGTCATAGTGTATTTTCTGTAAGTTACTTAAAATATGAAAGACAACATGCCTGTAAAGAATTCATTACAACAACAAAGGACTTAAGAAACAAACTTTGAAATGAAAGGAAACTTCCTGGCAGGGAAAAAACACGTTTGAATAAATGTGGGATTTGACACTTATGTAGGTGTCATAACCAGCCATAAAATAACCCAATATATTTCACAACAGGTGTAAATATGGGTCATGACAGTGTTATGACCATTTTATGACAAGTTATGTCAGCTGTTATGACATGGTTATGTACCTGTCATAACGCGTTGACGCTGTGTCAAGTGTTACCAGATTGTGTTCCAAGATTAAACCAGATTTCTTCCTCTAGACATTGACTATTTGATATAATGTAGTTCTATGCAGTGTTGAAATACAGTCAACCAATTTTGTTTATTTTTTTGTACTTATTCAAAGACAACTCTGTCTGATCATCCGCAGAAAACAGTAGTATTCTATTATTTTCAACCTGGACTCAATACCCTAAATACTCCCTCCTGTATGAAATAGTATTCTCATCAACCACAAGTTCTTCCACGTACGACATTGAGACCTACACTTGACATACACTGCCACCTTCTGGCGGTTGAGGAATTGATCTGACCCTGAAAAGTGAAAAACAATAATGGTACAATATTGTACAATTGTAAATAGTCATTTAATGCTGAGATCCGCTAAAAGGTGAAACGGTGACACTTGTAGCCCCAGGTGCATTTGTTATTGTTTTTTGTTTATCAAACGGTGGAGATGAGCATCCTGCGTTGTGTTAAAAAAAAAAAAAGTAGTAGTACATACTCTGCTGTTCTCTCGCGCAGACAATGATGTCCAAGGAAAAAAAATAGTGTTCGTTGTTTGAGAATTAACGCATTTGTTGTTGTCGCAAACGGACGTGGCAGTTTCCCCGCTATGGATTCCAACTTTAATAATGGTGAAAACATTGTTCAATGGAAATAACAGAGAGAAGACCTTAGATATTCAATATCTATTGGATTAAAAAAAATATTCATAGAATAATAAACCATTTAGAATGTATTTCGCTTTCTGATATAGTATGGGGGTCTATGTTAAAATATACAAAATATAAACTTGTTGGTTGTTTTTTCATTGATTGCTACCAACTTCACTGAAAAAGTCTGTTTGCTTAATTTTGCACAGGAAGTAACTATTGTATAATTACATATTTATGTAGCTACATTAACATTTATATAATCAAGAGTAATTGCACCAGAGTTAACACTACCTCAACCTACAGCACTGCATCTTTAACATACAAGTTCAACAAATACATCAGACAGGCTTGATAGTTCATGTTTTTTTTTCTCTTTCAATTTTAATTTGAAACATCAAAATAAAGATATTAATCCAAATAAAGTCAACAACTAGGCCTCTTAAATCCAATACAAAACGTTTAAAACTTTAAAAAAACAGTTTCCGAAAAGCTGCTTACAGATAAACAACAGATGATACGTTCCACTTTATAAAACGTTCCACTTTACCTGTGTGTCTATTTCAGATAGCTTACACATTGTTTGCCTGTGTGTTGGTACGCTGTAAAACACAAAACAATCCACCTCAACAGCGGACAGTGAAAGAGAAAAGTGGGTTTCAATCCCACCCACAGGCGATTGTCTTTTACAACAGTGAGTGTTTCACCTTTTTTCTAATACAGAAGTTTTCATCTGGGTACAGTGTGTGTAGTTAGCCCCTTACAGTTGTGCACAAATATACAACTACATGCATAATACAATATCATCGCTTCATGAGAAAGGAGGAATAAGGCACATAAAGTTCTGGCAACAAAGAGCTTGACTCAAGCCTACACAAACGGGCAGGAGCCAAACGTTCAACAGCTTCAACAGGTACAGTACATGCATGGCGGTAGGACAAGGGATAGTGATTCTGTAGCCCAATCCAAAATCCACCACCAGCCCCTACAACTTATGCACTTGTGCAGATCAGAAAGGATTGTATAGGTGAGAGCAATATGGCAAGAATTCCAACGATCTTATCAGAAGGCAAGCTCAGGTGAAGGTTTTACCATTGATTACATCTATCCAATTCTTTCAGATCTACTGAAGTGCCTAGGGGTTGATTTTGGATTGACCCAAGTACCTAGGGGGTAGGTGTGGGGGGTTGATTTGGGACTCAGTAAATCACCTCCTAGAGGAGAGAGGCTCAGGGGATACATTAACCACAAGAGTCCTCTCATTGCCTGAGAGCATTGGGGACATGACTCACATACAGACACAAACATAGACATACACACACACACACAGACCTGCAAGGATTAGTGCGATTTTGCCCCCAGGAGACAATGAAAACAAAACAACAGCAGCATTAAAGGGATACTTCGGGATTTTGGCAATGAGGCCCTTTATCTACTTCTCCGGAGTCAGATGAACTCTTGGATACCATTGTTATGTTAAGAGGTAGTTTCGCGAGCCAATGCTAACTAGCGTTAGCACAATGACAAAGTCTATGGTATCTGCTAGCATATACCATAGACTTCTAGTCATTGCTCTAACGCTAGTTAGCAATTGCGCTAGCGCTAGTTAGCAGCGTCCTTCAAACTGCACGCAGAGACAGAAAAATGGTATCCACAAGTTCATCTGACTCTGGGGAAGTAGATTGCCAAAATCCCGAAGTATCCCTTTAACATCATGAATGACAGACATGATTAACTTAATACATGCTTCACATTAAATCAAGTGGCAACAAATGACAAGAAAACTTTTTTTTTTTTTACAAAGATTTTCCTTAAATGGAATACCGTTAGCTTGTAAAACAAATCAAAAACAGGGTATTTATGGCAATCCAAAAAATAACAATAATTCACATATTTTGTTTTTTCAAATAGAATAAAACATATGAAAATTAGCTGGTAGGCTTTACTACTAGCTGCTTTTTAACCGTATTTTTCTTTTGAACACCTATGCGATAATACGACCCTCTCCATCTTTTTTTTGAGGCACTAAGGCATTGTACTACTCACTACCTTTCCTACCTTCCCTCCCATTACAAGTGCTAGCATATGAAAGAACTGAGAGGGAGAACAGAGACTTGAAGTCATCACATGCTTTAGGTAGTATAGGTTCCTTAGCCTAACGTATAATGACTTGAACCAAAGGCCGATTCTGGAAGAATTTAAATGTACGAAAAAGACCCACAATAAAATTAGAATAGAACAACCTTTCTCTCCAAATCCATCAATCCTTATTGAATGCACGTTTATCACCACATCATTTAAAGATGTGGTTTTTGTTCTTTAAAGTAAGAGACTAGTCTGTAAATGTGAGCTTGTCTCGTGCCGGTCTCCAGTGCAAAATACCACCCTCCTCTGAAAAGTCTGAGAATTATACAGGATTCCATTCTTTGCTGAGAAACTAGTCAGGATATTTACACGGGTTCTCAAACTCCTAAAGGACATTTGGAAGGTATTACAATTGGTGAAAAACTCAACCCTTTAAAACAATGGATTTCTGGAATCTTTACTGTAGTGAGATAAACAAAGCATTGTCTTGGTCCTCTCTCTGTCATGTCAGTCAGTTTTGTCTGCTTCAGAGGAGTGGGGGGCCGTGTACTTCAGCCGAAAGCCACCTGAAACACACACACATGAGTGCGTCAGTGTCGCGTGCCAAACCAGCCAACAAGTAACCTAAAGAAATGTGATGTCCATAGTCTTTATGCTAGCATTTCAGATTCAGTGTCCTATCAAAAGATAATTTAACACTTGGTTGGGTGTTTAAGAGCTCTTTAGCTTGTTCAGACAATCCAGGATTTGCTACAGAGAGCGTCAGACAAAAATGGTGGACAGTGCAAAACATGGTGGAAAACAATAGGTTACCAAAGAAAGCTCTGCCTTCCTACGCAACATTTTATTTTACTGAAACAAAAAGAGGAATCCTTATTTTCTCTGCTCTCTCACTATGAGAGACTTCACCTCCTCTCTCTGCCACTAGCCTGGCCAGTATTACCTTGCTGCCCGGCGTCCATGGAGGGCTGCTTGCAGTCTTGGGCATAGTGCCCGTTGAGCCCACAGTTATAGCAGGAGACGTTGGCACTACTCTTCTTCATGCCCGTGCCCAGTCCCACCCCCACCGAGGAGAACATGGGTGTGTAGAAACGGTTGAAGGAAGCAGCTGCCATCTGCTGCAGGTTGTATCCAGCCTGGGTGGCCAGCATGTGGTTCGAGTGGGAGGTGTGGAGCAGAGGTCCACTGACGTATTGCGTTGGCGTGGCCGTGTGAGGAGGAGGGGGATAGAAGGGTAGCTGTGTGGTGCCGTTGCTCTGGTGTTGGACCTGGCTGCGGTGGCTGGGGTATCCAGTGCTGCACATGGACGGGAGGTGGAAGAGAGGGAGGTGGGTGGTGCTGAAGACCTGCCTCCCCAGCTGGGGAGGGAAGTAGAAGTTGGGGTTGGGGGAGTGGCTACTACCACAGCTGCCATGGCAACCGCAGGTGTTGCAGCTCATCTGCTGTTGCTGTGGAGGGTGGGCCTGCTGCTGGGCCTGCAGCTTTTGCTGGGCCTGCCCTGCTGCCACCCCAGAGCTGCTGCAGGAAGAGGTGCCGTCTCCCTGGGCCGTGCTGTGGGTGAGGGTTAGGGCTTGGCTGGACACGGGGCCGGGGGTGTGAGTGGGGACGGCTGGGAGCAGAGTGGCCTGATCCTGACTGATGGCAGCTGGGGTCACAGTTGCCCCTGAGGAGGGTGTCACGTAGGTAGGGGTGGGTAGGCTGGTGGGTACAGCCAGGGCTTGAGGCCTGGTGTTAGGGTTAGGGAGAGAGGCTGCTCGGGGTAGGGTGGCAGTGGAGGCTGGGTCAGTGGTGGTGCATGTTTGCTGCAGGGGGGACATGTGGGAGTTCGGGGGGATGACACTGATAGCGCCCATGGGGGGCTGGGGGTTAGTGCTTCTACTGTCTGGACTAGTGGGGGTCCTATAACACTGGAGTATGGGGTGACTGCTGGAGCCTGGGATAGCTGGCTGTGAGTTCAGGGGGGCAGACACAGACACGTGCCTCTGTCTCTCAGGGTCTCCCAGGGGAGCTTTGCTTGAGATGGACTCCTGAGAAACCATGGGGGTGGTCCCAGTCAGTGCCCCCTCTGCTGGTGAACCGTCCCCCGGCTGTGGAGGGACAAAGACCATAACGTCTGGCATGGTCGGCCCATTCTGGACTGTCAGTGGTAGAGGCTGTACACTTCGGGGACTGTCAGTGTAGGATGGCTCTTCCTTGTGGGGTACAAGGACCATAGGGTGTACAGTAGCCACAACTTTCCCCCTGCTGTGACCACCCGCCCTCTTCTGCTGGACACAGTGGTCCGAGTAACTCTCTGTAGTGTCTGGGAGAGAGAAGCTATCATTAAAAGACATCTTGAGGTTCAACAGCATTATTTCACATCAGGGCTAAAGACAGACATCATGGGCCGGTTTCCCAGACCCAGATAAAGCTTTGTCCTGGACTAAATGGAGAATCTCCACTGAAAGTGCTCCTTAGTCCAGGATTAGGCTTAATCTGGCCCTGGGAAATCTGCCCCGTTCATTCCCCACAGGGGTAGTGGGGCCACTCACCTCTCTCTTCCTCCAGGTCTTCAAGGTCCTCACTCTCCAGACTCTCCCGGGCCTCGTGCTGGGGGCTGGAGGGGCTACTGGAGCTCTCAGACCACGTGTCTCCATACCTGTCCTGGACTGGCTCTACAGGGGTAGAGGAATGCACTTAAAAAACCACCATTCACAAACATACATGTTGTTATAATGTTAACTGTTAAGTTGGGGGGGGAGAGGATAGGCTATTGCCAGACTCATTGGTTACTTACTCTTACTGACACCCTGTCTGGTCACGTGTGTTGACAGCGGTCTGATGATGCCGTTGGGGATGTAGCCTTTGGCGCCCTCACTTCTAACTTCATCAGGTTTTCTTCTACTCTTCAGCTCTGGAGTGAAAGCCCATTTCTCATCTACTTTCTGACGAGAGAGCAGAACATTTAACACCCTAAACAGATGCAAATTATCATGATCTAATCAAACAAAAAATATAGAAATACAAAAGACATGCTTTTAATGTTTGAACAAATGCCAGTCAGCATTATACAGCAGCATATTGACAGTCCTGCTGTTTCTACCAGTTTCCCTAGTGGCTAGGCCAGGGAGAGATGGGGGAGGCCAGTGTGACTGACCTGATGTGGGTCTGGCCAACAGGACATAATGTCTGGTTTTCTCCTCCCCTCCACCACTCCGTTGTGCTCTAAGTGGAGAGCAGGCCTCTGGCTCTCACTCTGGCTGCTCTTTGTCAGCAGTATGCTGTAAAGAGAAGGGAGTACAACCCATCAGTGAATCAGCCACAAGGTCACATGTCTTGGACTGAAAAGATAGTGCTCTTACCTCTGGCCTAATCTCTTGCTGCTGCACTCCGTCTGATGCCCAAGATGGTGAGACTCTAAGTCTGGGTGAGGAGAATGATGATAGACAAAGAGAGAGAAGTACAAGTGAACATCAACTATGGATCAATTAAATTAAACTGGACTTAAATCACATAGGGTGACAGGCAACAAATATCTGTCGGTATGAAATAGCCATTTACACACACCGTGTCAGATCAACCCAACAAAGAACGACAGACAGGCAGAGTAAATGGTTTATATAAGACAGAGATAATATAAACTATACCATACAGCACACACCTTCGTCCTGACTGGATGGCTCTGTGCAGTCTTCTTTAAAGTGCTCGGCTGCCTTGCAGGTCTTTCCCAGTGGTACTGTATTATCTGGGTAGGAGAGACCAAATGGTGAGATATTAGGGAATGGGCGACAAGTTCCCTCCAGCCTACCTAACATTACAGCTTTTCTACTGCTTCAAGACCTGCAGTGTGTTAATATTAAACGCTTCACATGTGCAGCCTAGACATAAAAAATAGATTCTTGGTTTATTAATTTCTGTGGTCAATTTGATGCAGCTGTGTGAAACCAATGAGCAACGGATTCCCTTGAATGGTCAGAGGTGTGAGGAAACTTTCCCAAATAATCATTTAATTAAGTCAATTGATAATGGCTAGGGGTTTAATGTGGTGAAACTACCACCTGGCCCTGCAGCTATGCTGAGAGCTGTTCACTGTGAAGCTGGGTTTATTTCTCTAAGCTGGCGACCAAGCAGTGTGCGTGTTATTTCTGGAGGATTTACCAGTCCTCTGGGAGCACTATTAAAACAGGGCTCAGGGCGTTACTTTCAAAGGCCAGTTAAAATTACTGAGAAGTTGTTTATTGGTACGATTAGTCACGTGGACCGACCACATCAATCCACATACAAAATGATTCTAGAAGAGAGAGGGGTAATTGTGGTCTGTGTTCCAAGGTATCCCTAACCAATCAGGTGGATGGTTTGTGTAGACACGTCAGTAGAGCGTGTGATATCTCACCTCCCTGGAGGCTGAGGCAGGGGCACAGACACTTACAGTGGCTGCAGTGGGGGAGAAGGAACCTGCAGACCTCTCCTCTCTGCCTGAAGGCTGCTGGGGCTGACAGAAGCATATCCCTGTCACAGTGGAGAGAGAGAAGAAAGGGAGTTAAAGATAGAAATTACACAGAGGGAGAAAGAAAGTGACTTGGAAATTATAATTTAATGTGTCATCCATCACCTGTTCTATGCTAGAATATCTATAGCAAGATACAGTAGGTGCACTTTGTATAAGAAGTCACAACGTGCTGGTGTGACCTTGGATGGTAGTGAAAAAGAGAAGGGGAAAAAGTGATCCATCCATATCTGTAAAGGAGAAAATACGTCTCACCGAGTTACATCTGCCATTAATGGTTTTAGGGTCCGACCACCTGCGGGCGTCTCGACTGACGACATTTTCGCCCGTTTCTACAAATTACGGCCGGCACTGCAGAGTTGTTAAGTACTCTCGGGCGGCAAACGCTACCGGTGTGTCCGTGCCTTAAGACAGTGTTCCCTAACTCCAGTCCTCAAGTACCACCAACAGTACTCATTTGTATTGTAGCCCTCAACAAGCACACCTGATTCAACTTGTCAACTAATCATCAAGCCCTAAATGAGTTGAATGAGGTATGTTTGTCCCAGGCTACAACAAACATTTGTTCTGTTGAGGGTACTGGAGGATTGGAGGTGGGAAACACTGCCTTAAGGAATAGCTAGTAATGGCAATGACATCACAGTTGACCTAGATATCAATGCCTGGGTTCTGACACGTGTAATGCCTGGGTTCTGACACATGTAAAGCCTGAGGTTATTCACCATAACCATAACCATGACCATAACTGAAAACACTGGAGCTTATGGCAGAGTTGGTGACAGTAACTAGAGGGTAGTCTACTCTACTCTCTCCACAATATGATACATTGAGGTCTGTGAATAAAACACAGCTGAAGTAGAGGTTTGGACTAATAGACTGTTTTAGCCATCTTATACAGCTATGTTATTTTATGCCACAGAAGCAAGTCATAGAAGATAAATATATCTTGAAAAAAAAAAAAAAAAAGAACAGCTGGAGTGTAAAACAACAAGAAAGTGTGAACCTCAAGAAATCAATTTACTTGATTGACAATATGAAAACCCTCTTGAGATGTCTTCTCATTCTGTGTGCTGCAACAAATAGAGTAAGAGAGGGAGACTCACTGTAGCGTCCTCTCCACGTCCCTGGGTTCATACTGGTCTCTCTGGGCCAGTAACCTCACCAGTTCCTTCTCAAAGGGTTCAGAGGACCTCTCACATGGAAGCTGGAATGCAGGGAATCATATTACATTTTACATTTTAGTCATTTAGCAGACGCTCTTATCCAGAGCGACTTACAGTTAGTGAGTGCATACATTATTTTTTATTTTTTTCATACTGGCCCCCCCTGGGAATCGAACCCACAACCCTGGTGTTGCAAACGCCATGCTCTACCAACTGAGCTACATCCCTATGAGGGGTTATCATAGACATAGAGTGCCTTTAGAAATTATTCAGACCCCTTGACTTTTTCCACATTTTGTTACGTTACAGCCTTATTCTAAAATGGATTACATTGTTTTCCCCCTCATCAATCTACACACAATACCCCAAAAAGCAAAAACTGTTTTTTTGAAATGTTTGCTAATTTATTAAAAATAAAAAACTGAAATATCACATTTACATAAGTATTCAGGCCCTTTACTCAGTACTTTGTTGAAGCACCTTTGGCAGCGATTACAGCACAGAGTCTTCTTGGGTATGACCCTCCAAGCTTGGCACACCTGTATTTGGGGAGTTTCTCCCATTCTTCTCTGCAGATGCTCTCAAGCTCTGTCAGGTTAGATGGGGAGCGTTGCTGCACAGCTATTTTCAGGTTTCTCAAGAGATGTTCGATCGGGTTCAAGTCCGGGCTCTGGCTGGGCCACTCAGAGACTTGTCCCGAACCCACTGCTGTCTTGTCTTGGCCGTGTGCTTAGGGTCGTTGTCCTGTTGGAAGGTGAACCTTTGCCCCAGTCTGAGGTCCTGAGCACTCTGGAGCAGGTTTTCATCAAGGATCTCTCTGTACTTTGCTCCGTTCATCTTTCCCTCGATCCTGACTAGTCTACCAGTCCCTGCCGCTGAAAAACATCCCCACAGCATGATGCTGCCACCACCATGCTTCACCGTAGGGATGGTGCGAGGTTTCCTCCAGACGTGACGCTTGGCATTCAGGCCAAATAGTTCAGTCTTGGTTTCATCAGACCAGAGAATCTTGTTTCTCATGGTCTGAGAGTCTTTAGGTGCCTTTTGGCAAACTCCAAGCGGGCTGTCATGTGCCTTTTATTGAAGAGTGGCTTCCGTCTGGCCACTCTACCATAAAGGCCTGATTGGTGGAGTGCTGCAGAGATGGTTGTCCTTCTGGAAGGTTCTCCCATCTCCACAGAGGAACTCTTGAGCTCTGTCAGAGTGACCATCGGGTTCTTGGTCACCTCCCTGACCAAGGCCCTTCTCCCCCGATTGCTCAGTTTGGCCGGGCGACCAGCTCTAGGAAGAGTCTTGGTGGTTCCAAACTTCTTCCATTTAAGAATGATGGAGGCCACTATGTTCTTGGGGACCTTCAATGCTGCATAAATGTTTTGGTACCCTTCCCCAGATCTGTGCCTCGACACAATCCTGTCTCGGAGCTCTACGGACAATTCCTTCGACCTCATAGCTTGGTTTTTGCTCTGACATGCATTGTCAACTGTGGGACCTTATATAGACAGGTGTGTGCCTTTCCAAATCATGTCCAATCAATTGAATTTACCACAGGTGGACTCCAATCGAGTTGTAGAAACATCTTAAGGACGATCAATGGAAACAGGATGCACTTGAGCTCAACTTCGAGTCTCATAGCAAAGGGTCTGAATACCTATGTAAATAAGGTATCTGTTTTTTTATTGTTAATACATTTTCAAAAAAATTCTAAAAACCTGTTTCCGCTTTGTCATTATGGGGTATTGTATGTAGATTGTTTTGTATTTGATCCATTTTAGAATAAGGCCGTAATGTAACAAAATGTGTAAAAGGTCAAGGGGTATACAAATAGCAAGATGTAGAAATACATGTGAATATACAGTACCAGTCTAAGGTTTGGACACACCTACTCATTCAAGGGTTTTTCTTTATTTTTACTATTTTCCACATTGTAGAATAATAGTGAAGACATCAAAACAATGAAATAACACATATGGAATAATGTAGTAACCAAAAAAAGTAAATAAATAAAAATGTATTTTAGATTTTAGATTCTTCAACGTAGTCACCCTTTGCCTTGATGACAGCTTTGCACACTCTTGGCATTCTCTCAACCAGTTCCCACATATGCTGAGCACTTGTTGGCTGCTTTTCCTTCACTCTGCGGTCCAACTCATCCCAAACCATCTCAATTGGGTTGAGGTCATGTGATTGTGGAGGCCAGGTCATCTGATGCAGCACTCCATCACTCTCCTTCTTGGTCAAATAGCCCTTACACAGCCTGGAGGTGTGTTTTGGGTCATTGTCCTGTTGAAAAACAAATGATAGTCCCACTAAGCGCAAACCAGATGGGATGGCGTATTGCTGCAGAATGCTGTGGTAGCCATGCTGGTTACGTGTGCCTTGAATTCTAAATAAATAACAGACCAGCAAAGCCCCCCCACACCATCACACCTCCTCCCCCATGCTTCATGGTGGGAACCATACATGTGGAGCTCATCCGTTCACCCACACCGCGTCTCACAAAGACACAGCAGTTCGAACCAAAAATCTCCAATTTGGACTCCAATGTCCATTGCTCGTGTTTCTTGGCCCAAGCAGGTCTCTTCTTCTTATTGGTGTCCTTTAGTAGTGGTTTCTTTGCAGCAATTTGACCATGAAGGCCTGATTCATGCAGTCTCCTCTGAACAGTTGATGTTGAGACGTGTCTGTTACTTGAACTCTGTGAAGCATTTATTTGGGCTGCAATCTGAGGCTGGTAACTCTAATGAACTTATCCTCTGCAGAAGAGGTAACTCTGGGTCTTCCTTTCCTGTGAGAGCCAGTTTCATCATAGCGCTTGATGGTTTTTGCGACTGCACTTGAAGAAACTTTCAAAGTTTTTCAAATGTTCCAGAATGACTGACCTTCATGATATGGACTTGGTCTTTTTCCAAATAGGGCTATCTTCTATATACCCCCACTACCTTGTCACAACACAACTGATTGGCTCAAACGCATTAAGGAAAGAATGCGTTAAAATGCGTAAAAATTCCACAAATTCACTTTTAACAAGGCACACCTGTTAATTGAAATGCATTACAGGTGACTAACTCATGAAGCTGGTTGAGAGAATGCCAAGAGTGTGCAAAGTTGTCATCAAGGCAAAAGGGTGGCTACTTTGAAGAATCTCAAATATAAAATATATTTAGATTTGTTTAACACTTCTTTTGGTTACTACATGATTCCTTGTGTTATTTCATAGTTTTGATGTCTTCACTATTATTCTACAATGTAGAAAATAGTAAAAATAAAGGAAAACCCTGGAATGAGTAGGTGTACAAACATTTGACTGGTACTGTATATCACAATATTGTTATTAGCCCTATTAGCGCGCACATAGAGCGTTGAGTGACTAGAAAGCACATGCATACATTTGGAAAGTAAACACTGCATCTGGGTTGGCAGATGGCTGTGGAGATAGCTAATTAAACAAAAGTTAATCCCCCAAAATCGAAGCCCTAACAGCACTAAAATGAATATGATCTGATGGCATACGACAAGGAATCCAAAATACCTCCTGGTCAGGGGAGCAGCAATATACTGTGTGCGGAGTGTGCAGACATCTCATTTATTTATCCGTAAGACAACATCCACATATCATCAGACCTCTTGTACAGACGGCAGATAGTGTGACTTTATTTCACCAGACATTAAATGCAGTATCGTCTAGGCCTACAATCTATTAACGGGGATGTGTTTTTCTCTCATACCTTGGACAGGAAGTTGTACAGCTCATGGTGAGTCTTGGTCACTGTGCTCCATGTTGAGTCAGACCACTGGACCTGGAAGGGAGGAGGTGAGGAAGGCAACATCATTCATCAGTATGCTTTACCAAACACACATCATATACATTGCTTTGGACAGCATGTCATTCCCCTGAAATATGCAGATGAAACAAAGTGTATGGTATTTTCCCCTTCGCAACAGCCCTAATAAACAACCACATAATTATTTGATACTTGGCACAGTCAACCATTTAACTACATTCTGGAATCTGGACGACACCACATTCCATTTGGTGATGTAGTTAACGATTTAGATTGTCTGATGTGTCCTCATAAGTCAGTTTTAATTCAACACACACACACACACACACAGACACAGTGACGTCAGCTCCACTCTAAACTCCTGCTCAGAATGTTTGAGGTATTTGATTTGTGGCCAAAGCAGGTCATTGCATACCTTAGTTACGGAAGTAAATAATGATCTTAGAAAGAGCTAGGAATGGAATTTCTCCTTAAATGTTTTGAGCAGAAAAACACAAGCTCCCTTCCTTTCCCTGATAGTATTTGCCTTGAAAGGATGTTTTCCCATTGGGAAGAAGAAGAAAAAACTCACCATGGACTACTCTTGACAAGTTTGCATACCAATAGAGGGCCTTTGATAATTGACACTAAGATTGAGTTAGTGTACTAAGAAAACTGATGTTAAACATTTCAACCATCTTGTATCAACAGCATCAACACTTCTCTTGACCTTTTCTGAGGGGAGTGGTGCCATACTCAAGTGGTGCCATACTGTCCTTTCAAAACATTACCCCGCTGGCCCTCAATATTCACAAATCGTCTGAATCTTTAGAAAAACATACCAAGAGGCGCTTTCTGTTGCCTCTCAAAGCAGAGTAAATAATGAACGGTGACAGATTGAGTAGTAGGTTTTAGTCTCAGCCATCCCTCTCTCAGACGGTTAGAGTGAACCGATGCTCTCGTGCTTTTGAGGCTAAGAGAATAGGAAGGATTTCATTGGGCTCTGATCTGCTTCAGTTAGGCTACTATAGCCTTAACCTTTTTGTTAATTTTTTGGGTTGCTCTGATAGTTGTATGGGTATGTAGCCTAACATTTCAGAAACAATTGTTGACTGTGAGACTTTTAGGCTACAGTGCTCAAACACATACAAGCACAGACTTTTTAAAATGTGTTTTATCTGATGCTTATACCGTGTGTGGAAGGCTATATGAAAATATTCTACTCTGTAAATAGTACATTTTTTGAAGGTGACATTCCATCATCACCGAGCCCAATAATCTGCTCCGCGGGGGGATCTGAACCCAACCAACTCTTTCACAGCCTGGCAGTCTACTCAATTCTGTCCATCACAGAGTTAACCTGTGGAGTCTGGTAATTGGTGCTCCCCTACTGAACGACAATGACTCCCAAATGGCACCCTATTCCCTTTGTAGTGCACTACTTTTGACCAGGGCCCAGCTCTGATCAAAAGTAGTGTGCTACACAGGGAATAGGGTGCCATTTGGGACGCAATCCTGCTCCTTGATCCCTGACCTGACAAAGGTGAATGAAAAGGCACTCATCAACTTGAAGTGGGATATAAAAAAATCTGTCGCTCTTTGTCAAGTTCAAATTACAACTAAACAAGGCATAACAGAGCAAGTAACCTAACGGGAGTAATTTACTCCCTAATAGAGAGTCTACAGGGGATTGAGGAATGCTTGGGAAAACATCCACATGTCATCAACCGACGAGTAAATTCTCAAAAATAAAGATTTTGTTTTCCATTGTTTGTCTACAAATTTCGAGGCCCAGTTTGGAAACAGGTCTTTTAATTATTAATTTTAGTGCTATCCTCTGGGAATACAATGTACATCTCGCTAATATGTTTTTACCCAAATAAATTCAATTCAATTTAACTCCTAAACAGTTTCTTTCAACCCTTGAGCTGCTTGCAGCCTTGACTAGTGTAAATACCTCAGACACTGAAGGGACTGACAGGGAGAGTCATTTTGGCTTTAGCAGCCAGGCTGGGTTCCTTACAAACCTCTGAATACTAATGTCTGATTTGTAGGCCCAGTTCAAGCTGGACACAGGAAGTAGTGGTTTGTCTAGTATGTCTGCCCTTCACAAAAGGAGAGAAAAAAGGAAAACAGTGAGCTTTGAAAACCGGTGATGAATGAATGTTTTAAACCCCAAGTCCTCTCTGATCAGGGTGACAAGACAACCAACATTTTTGTTACTCAGTTTAGAACAAATAAAGGAGCCTAGGATGTAATTCCCATCACCTTGGTGGAAAAGTGAATAACGCTGAATGAATGTGAAACAATTCAGCAAGTAATATGCTAGGCCTACCTCTCACAGCATTGTTTTACACTGAACTCAGCACAGGCCTGCCCTAGTTTAACAGGCTACTCTTAGTTGTGTTGTGTATAGCCTAGAGTAGACCGAGTGAAATGCCTCCTGTGCTGAAGATGATGGATGTTCTCCCCTATTTAACACACCAACACCCTCTTTCATATACCATGCCCAGCGGAGCAGATGGCACTGCCCAGCAAGCCACTTTCTCTCTCTCGTGTGTGTGTGTGTGTGTGTGTGTGGGGGTTGATTCTTCTATCCTTGTGGGGACCTAAAATCCCCAAGTCCCCACAATTATAGTAAAACAATGAAAATTCTCCCTCATGGGGACATTTTCCACATCCACATAAGGAAAGGCTTTTTTAAGCTTAGGGGTTAGGTTTAGGGTTACAATTAAGGTTAGAATTAGGGTAAGAGGTTTAGGGTTACGGGTTAATGTTAGGGAAAGAACGACAAAACGTGTGTGTCAGTTTCCAGCACTGGCTAGCAGCAACATTTGATCACTGTCCCCCTCCACATTTTAGCCAAGAGGGTTTCAACTGCCAGTTGATTTCAAGCACAGTCTGTACAGTGCCTCTTAACTTGGGCTACATTAGAGTATCCTTTTCAAGTAGGCTATTATACAGTAGGGTTCAATAACAGATTAAACCCTTCTCCAGCACCAACAAAACATGGAGAGCAGGCTTTAGAGACCTGTTGAACCAAACACAATCCTCTCACTGATAAATATCTCCCTTAGACGAAGGGAATTCTAGCCTGGTCAAGCAAACGGACCGCTGCACTCACGTTTCATTATACTTAATACGTGGTTGGTTTCACAAATCCCCTTAAAAATCCAGTAGCAACCCTCTGCCTAGGCATAACCTCTTAGGCTAACCGAAGACTTCATTCTGCCCAGCCACACAGATGATGATGATGGGTATTGGGTCAAGGCCAGGACGGCCATTCGTTCCATTCATATGAGTGTCACACACACCTCCACGCAGTCACACACTGTCAGTACCACTGTCTCTGTATAGCAGACTAAGCAGAAAAAGGTAAGGTTATAACTCTTTCAGAGGTCTCCTCAATAAAGCTCATCTTGTTATCCTTATAACTCTGATCCGATTTTAACTGTTAAGTGACGAACACAACACTCACCATCGTTAGCATGTGTTGGCAGTATGTTCTAGCTACTTAGCTAACTAGCCTTCATGGTTTTGGTCAATTTCAGTAGATCACAGATAAGGAGAGCATTAGTCAGATATAAGTCTATTCTATTACTATTCTGGCTATCTGAGCAAAAGCATCAGCAACGCTGTGGTGAGGACATCATCTCATGATCTCAGTGTTGTGAAATCTTGGAGCTAACCTCAAGTCCATCAACCCTCTAGTCTAAATGGAAGACTTTCCGTTTTTACAGGCTGATATGATGCCGCCGCAGGCTTGTAAAAACAGTCAAGGCAGATGTTTTGGGGACGCGAACGATCAAGGACATATTTCCACCAGATTGTGTTCTCATGCAAAGGAGGACAGCATGTGAATAGGAGGGAGCAATCCTTCCTGCTGTCCTCTTTAGCCTGGCTCTCTACGTCTTGCTCTCCCCCTCCCCCTCGCAGACTCCTCAGCACAGTGCTGCCTGTCACAATGATGCCTGGCTGATGCCTGGCCATACAGGACAGACTGTTGAGTCAGGGCCAGGCAAAGTCTTAGGTCTCTGCCTGTCCAGATGTTGTAAGAGAACATTGCATGATTTACAGAGAAAAATACAAAATATTGCATGGACAATCTGAAGCTCAGGACTAACGTTTTTTCAGTGCCATAATTTGAATGAGGAAGTGCAAATCAATCTGGTGGCCCACGATATATAGGCCCAATAAAAGTAAGTATACCTAGATTCTACAGGGGTATGCTTCAAAATGCATGAGAAATAAAATCCCCAGGAATATCAGAATGAAAAGAACATATCAAGGCACAGAGTCCAAACATTAACATACCTCAATACTGTATTCCCTGTTTCCTCGGTTCCAAAATATCTTCTTTAGCACAATCTTGTCAATGTGAACTGCTGCTGGAAGAAAGACGACCAGGGTTATTATTTTGAGCAATTCATTGCTGTTCACCTAAATGTAATTTTGATTACCACAGAATACATTGAACACTGTTAAAGGAATGCTGCGAGATTATGGCATTGTTCTCCTTACCCAGAGTCAGAAGAACCCGTGGGATACCATTTTTATGTCTCTGCGTGCAGTATGAAGGAAGTTAGCGGTAGTTTCACAAGCATTGCTCCTATACCTGTAGACTTCCAGTCATTGCGCTAACGCTAGTTAGCATTGGCTTGCGGAACTACCGCAAACTTCCTTCATACTGCATGCAGACACATAAAAATGGTATCCACGAGTTCATCTGCCTCTGGGTAAGTAGAACATGGGCATCAATGCTAGAATCCTGCAGTATCCCTTTAAAACTACAGACATATTGAATATATCCTGTCTATTGAACCATATTGGACCATTTGTTTGGGTCTCTTGTTTTACCTCAAATGCACTAGGCTAAAATACATCTTGCTTTGAACACTCCTCAACATGTGAATGAGAGACCTCAGAGGATACAATGACAAACAGGATTGAGACTACCTTCTCTCTGAGATAAGGTCCTGTTCAGGAGCTGATTGGGAATACAGCAGGCCGACTGACCCATGTCAGTGCTCCTGGGGCTGAGGTCCTCCTTTCGCAGGGTATGCTGCTTCTGCTGCAACCAGGAAAGTGAAGAGATTGGTGCTTTTGTAAGAAATTGTTCCTTCTCCCCCAATAATAGTCCCACTAAACAACTTCTCCCTTACAACACTTAACTGGAACCAATACTAATTTCCTCCTCTCCACATGCTTTGAAAACTATTTTTTTCTCCATCAGTTTTATTTATATTCATAAGTCAGCTCCGTTTTGATTAGAAATACTGCCTATCCGTAGGCTAACTGTCTTAATGAGACATATAATTATGCTGAAAGCCAGCCAAGAGGGCAGTCAGTCAGACAGATGAGAGAGAGAAGGTGTCTGTCTCATTCAAACTCCTGGCTTTTTCATTGGATGCCAGAAAGGGAGGGGAGGGGGGGGGGGAGCGAGGGAGATAGATAGAGAGAGAGAGAGAGAGAGAGAGGGAAAGAGAGAAAGGTTTCTCCAACACAATGCAAAGTAAGATCACAATGCAACCATTCACAAGAATGCCGGGTGTTCCCATTCATATAGGCTAGCTAGCTGCTGTGGAGAAGATGACAGAAGAACACAGTAGCAGTGGCCAGCATGTCTGCTGAAGCCAGATAAGCGGTCTCTCTCTCTATTCTCCTGATTGAGAAAGTGATCTTCATTCAGTCTATGGCGTCTGTCATTTTGTGACAGCACAATGAACTCAACTTGTAGTCATATGGCCATGCACTCAAGACTGTTCTTGGAAATGAAACTGCTTTGAGCAATACTTGGTATGAAAGGGTTTAACCTCTCCTCTCTTTTTAGGGTAACTCCACAAGTCTATTCACATCAGTACATACTATTGTTATTACAGTCTATCCCTACAGCAATTATTTGGCCCCACTTTACCAGAAATAAAGTGCTACATTGCGTCATCTGAACTAAATTTTGATTCCATATAGATGTTTTATTTTAAAAAAGTAATCTGTTCATTCCTATGACTAAGGTGGCCAGTAACATTTTAGAAAAATAGGTTATCCTTGTTTAAATAGTACCTACCTAGTTAAATTATTGTCAAAGTAAAAGTCAGGTGAAAGTCTTACTGGGGAACGCCCCCTGTGGACTTGTCAACATCATATGTACCAGGGCCCCCCAGGGGTTGCATTTCAATAGTCAACAGTAGCAAAGCCTTCACTGGCTTTCTTCTCGTTTCCTCACCTGCTGATCTAATGGCACAGGATAGTAAATGTGATAGGAGCCTTTCAACTGCTCAGTTCAATCAGGTCAGTGACAATAAGTAGTGAGGTAATGAGGTGAGCTAAGGAGAGGAGGTAAGGTGAGGAGGCCCCTTTAGATTAACTTCAGCTGGCAATGTGATGCTTACCTGGACGCTCGGGCGGTTGTGGCAATACCTTCTCTCCTCTATGGCCCGTTCCACATTGTCCAACTGGTGTCTGGCAGTATCCTTCTGGTGAAAAGAGAACGCCGGGTGCAGCGAGGCCATGGTGAAAAGCAGCGCCAAGTGCTCCAGGGAACCCGACTCTGCCTCCAGTGGAGGCCCACTGGGATGCTCCAATTTCCCGGACTCCATTCCACCATCGCGAGGGTAATGTTGATCAGGTAAATTCTGAGCGCTCCCACGTGGAGATAATGGAACGCCATGATAAGTATTCAAGTACAGCGTTGGATCCATATGGCTCAAAGCACGATAAAGTGTGCTCGCGCATTCTCTGTTTTCAGATCTCAAAAGTGACAGGCAGACAAGTAGTTTGGAACGCACGACAGGGTCTGCAACGTCCATAAGGAGGCCCAAGTCCGTTTGACTGTTCGCCCTTATCTCAAAGTCTCGGAAGACGTGGAAATCTTTCCGTGCAAGGTCCTCAAGGCAGGATCCGAAAAAGCGAAGCTCAAGTGGTTGACACATATTGAGTATTCCGTACATAAACTCTATCCGCTTTGCTGGGTTGAGGTGCAAGCCGAACCACTCAAACACAGTCTCCTTGTCAATTTGCGACAGGCGACAAGATTCCCTCGTTGAATCCTTGAGCCGGTGGCTCACACCACAGTACGGAATCGAATCACTAGGGAGACTGTTGCAATCGGTATTTTCCTGCTCGTCTTCGACCGTATGGTCTTCTTCCTCCGACGTTCGCATGGGAAGCTTCATTTTCAGCATGATCAACTCTGACAGGACCTGTTAGCGATGATCAATTCATTCAAATGTATCGGAACATTACATACTCGCTCAGTTCGCATCCGTACCCGCCGCCGAGTTATATTTCTGTGATATTATAAGGAAATGAACTAGTGAGATTATGTATAGCTGGCTCAGTAACTCATTTTCAAGCACTGACTGACTGTACCACTCGAAATTACATAGTTGACTCCTCCCATCTTTCATCAAACTGCTGGGTCCTAACTTCATCCCACCCTGCACCGGGTCGTGACAAGGGTGCATTTACTACAGGTCACCGAAGTCACTTTCTCTCATCAATGCAAAAACATATATTTTTTTACTAAATATGTCAGTGCTGTCACAATGGATTGTTATTCTATAATATTCGATATTCGATATGTGATATATAATTGCATGAAACTCTTAAAAGTGCAATGCACTGAAACATATTTACACAATAGAGAGAGCAATGCCGTCTTTTTGTAGGCACCAACTCGCTCATGTGTAGAAGGAATCCAGCGTTTGTCAAATTAACTTTAAAATGTGTTTTTTATTTTATTTTTATTTTAGTTAACCCTAACCCTTTTCCTAACTTTAACCTAATTACCATAACCTGCTATGAATGTGTAAAGAATAGGGTTTTGGAATAACCGCCGAAAATAAGGTCTGTGATAAACACAGGTTTAGGAGGTTTTATACGTTCTGTTCTATGAGATAGTCGTCACTTTTTTGTGAAATTTTAAGCATTTATGAAAGAAAGAAAAAACAACGCACATAAAGGCTTCATAATTTATAAAGGTAGTGCTAACTGACTGATATTATCTTATAGAACAAATCCTATAAGATCTCATAAGCCTGTGTTAACCTCAGACCTTATTTTCGGCATTTATTCCAAAACCCAATTCTTTCCCCATTCATTTTGCAGATAGGAATGACTGAACATTGAGGTAAATCATTTCCGGTTTTTAGGACTGCAAGCTGGCTAGCTCTATATTGCACACGATATAGTCAAATATTTTTTATATCTAACCCATGATAGACCAGAGCCTGTCGTTTCCAATGGGAGAAAATGAATAATTGTGGGCAGAACAAGAAAGGAGGTAGAGCCAAACACGAGCCACTAGTGAGATCCTATTGGCGCGTTCTAATATTATATGCATATTTCCGTTAGGGAACGCCTACGCGTGAAGTGCGCGTGTGCAATAACTCAATTCGTGTGTACTCCTTCTAAACAACGCAATTTTTAGAAACTTTGGCAAAGGGTAAAGTCTACAAAAAGCAGGCCACTCTGGTTGTTACAGATTCTAGTTTTGGAAACAGAAAACTGTATGGAAATCAAATGTTTCATTGATGAGAAAATTAGCAGAATGTCGGCCAAAATCCATCTCACTCAATCTTCTCCCACTGCCAGCCACTGGGCTTCCTCTCATCACCATATTTGGTAGTTAGTGGAAACGCCAACCAGATACTTCACATTACATCCGTTGAAATATCTGGCTCATTGTTCTATCTGTGATATAGTTGTCATAAACTGTAGCTAGATTAATTAATTAATGTAAATTAATTGGGTGGTATTATTATGCATGAGTTTTCTTATCTTTGTAAACAGATTTTTTTTTTTTTTTTTTTTTTTCAACAGATGGCAGTATTTCATTACAATTCACTAGGGGCCTGTACTCTGCTACAGACAGTAGATTACACAAACACAAATACCAGGGATGGGCAACTTTGATGAGGATGGGGGCCACAACAAATCTGAACTCATCATGAGGGGCTGCAATGGCTTGCAGGTCTGCATACCCACATACTGTACATACACACACATGCAGTCAGAGCCGGTCCTAGCCTTTTGGGGGCCCTAAGCAAAATGTTGTTGTTGTTTTACAGCTAATTTACTGCAGTTCTACACATTTTGTCATAGGGTGGAGATAAATGTTTGCCGTTTTTAATATGATATCTGAGTGAGAGTGACTAATTTAATCAATGAGGGCCCCCCGGTCGGTAATTCAGCCATGATTACTACAAGTTTAGATAGCTGGCCGCTAGACTAACTTGCCAGTCTAAAACATGTTAGCTGACATGCGCTAATTTAGTGACTGTCAGTGACTGACATAAAAAGAGAAAAACTTCTGATACACAACAACATTTCAAAATTGCACCTTGTATATTCTACTATTCTAACGCTCAACAGTAATGGCCTAAACTCATCAAAGGCGATCGTGCGAGGCGTGTGTGATTTATTTTAGAATGGATTGTTTTTAATTATAATGACCCAACCGAAGCCGGCCGGGTGGGTGGGCGGGTTGTCCACTTTGAAGCCTCACTCAATTAAAACGTGTCTCTAGGGCTCCCGAGTGGCACAGCGGTCTAAGGCACTGCATCGCAGTGCTAGAGACGTCACTACAGACCCTGGTTTGTTCCCGGGCTGTATCACAACCGTCCGTAATCGGGAGTCCCATAGGGCGCCGCACAATTGGCCCAGCGTCATCCAGGTTAGGGGAGGGTTTGGCCGGGGGGGGGGGCTTTACTAGGCTCATTGCGCTCTTGCGACTCCTTGTGGCAGGCCGGGCGCCTGCAGGCTGACCTCAGTCGTCAGGTGAACAGTGTTTCCTCCGACAAATTGGTGCGGCTGGCTTCCGGGTTAAGCAGGCAGGTGTTAAGAAGCGCGGTTTGGCGGGTCATGTTTCAGAGGACGCATGACTCAACCTTCACCTCCCAAGCCCGTTGGAGAGTTGCAAGATCGAAATTGGGGAGAAAAAAATTGGGTAAAAAAATAGAAATGTCTCTTTTTATCGCTGGCGCTGTAGTCAAATAAAACATTTTTTGTTGTGTCATTATTCACTTTTTTTCGAGCTTGTTTGAACTGGAAGAGGTAGCTAAGGGTTGAGGCTTTGCCATACATAAATTAGACCAATTCATTCACTTATGAAAACAACATCGCTATCAGCAAAGATGATTGGCGATATGGTGAACAGGTCAGGGTTCCATAGCCGTAGGCAGAACAGCAGAAACTGCAGCACGACCAGGTGGATTAGGGGACGGGGACAGCCAGGAGTCGTCAGGCCAGGTAGTCCTGAGGCATGGTCGTAGGGCTCAGGTCTCCTGGGAGGGGAGAGAGAGATGGGAGGGAGCGTATCTAAGATCATTTACATTTACATTTTTAGTCATTTAGCAGACGCTCTTATCCAGAGCGACTTACAGTTAGTGAATACATATTATTATTATTATTATTATTATTATTTTTTATTTTTTTTCCAAAGATCACACAGGACAACAGATAAGACAGGAGAATTACACCAGATTTAACAGACTGACCCTAGCCCCCCGGCCCAGACTATTGCAGCATAGATACAGGAGACTGAGACGGGGTCGGTGGTGGGGGGGTCGGTGGTGGGGGGTCGGGGGATACTCTGGCCCCGTCCAAAGTTACCCCCGGATAGGGACAACCAGGCAGGATATAACCCACTTTGGCAAAGCACAGCCCCCACACCACTAAAGGGATATCAACAGGCCACTAACTTACTACCCTGAGACAAGGCAGAGTATAGCCCACAAAGATCTCCCCACCACACGAGCCCGAGAACAGGAAGGATGGAAGAGCGCGAGCAAGCCAGTGACTCAGCCCCCGTAACAGGGTCAGAGGCAGAGAATCTCAGTGGAGATAGGGGAGCTGGCCAGGCAGAGACAGCAAGGGTGGTTCGTCACTCCAGTGCCTTGCCGTTCGCCTTCACACCCCTGGGCCAGAATACACTCAATCATAGGACCTACTGAAGAGATGAGTCTTCAGTAAAGACTTAAAGTTTTAGACCGAGTCTACATCTCTCACACAGATCGGCAGACCATTCCATAAAAATTGAGCTCTATAGGAGAAAGCCCTGCCTCCAGCTGTTTGCTTAGAAATTCTAGGAACAATAAGGAGGCCTGCGTCTTGTGACAGCAGCGTACGTTTAGGTATGTACAGCAGAACCAAATTGGTGAGATACTGTAGGTAGGAGCAAGTCCATGTAATGATTTGTAGGTTAGCAGTAAAACATTGAAATCAGCCCTAGCCTTAACAGGAAGCCAGTGTAGGGAGGCTAGCACTTGGGTAATATGATACATTTTTGGGGTTCTAGTCAAGATTCTAGCAGCTTTATTTAGCACTAGCTGAAGTTTATTTAGTGCCTTATCCGGGTAGCCGGAGAGTAGAGCATTGCAGTAGTCTAATCTTAAAGTGGGAGAAGTTTGGATGATCTTTTCAGCATCAAATGTGGACAAAACAATTTCTGATTTTTGCAACATTACGAAGATCAAAAAGGATGCTCTTAAAATATTTGTTATATGTTCATCGAAGGAGAGTTCAGGGTCCAGAGTAATGCCGAGGTCCTTCACAGTTTTATTTGAGACGACTGTACAACCAATTAGATTAATTTTCAGATCTGACAGCAGATCTCTTCATTTCTTGGGATCTAGAACTAGCATCTCTGTTTTGTCTGAGTTTGAAAGTTTAAAAACATCTGCCATCCACTTCCTTATGTCTGAAACACAGGCTTCCAGGGTAGGCCATTTTGGAGTTTCACCATGTTTCATCAAAATGTGTAATCTACATAGCAGTGAAAGTTGACATTGTGTTTCCGAATGACATCATAAATATGTAGCATATACAGTACATGGCCAAAAGTGTGTGGACACCTGCTCGTCAAACATCTCATTCCAAAATCATGGGCATTAATATGGAGGTGGTCCCCCCTTTGCTGCTATAACAGCTTCCACTCTTCTGAGAAAGCTTTCCACTAGATGTTGGAACATTGCTGCGGGGACTTGCATCCATTCAGCCACAAGAGCATTAGTGAGGTTGGGCACTGATGTTGGGCGATTAGTCCTGGCTCACAGTCAGCGTTCCAATTCATCCCAACAGCGTTTGATGGGGTTGAAGTCAGGGCTCTTTGCAGGCCAGTCAAGTTCTTCCACACCGTTCTTGACAAACCATTTTTTGTATGGACCTCGCTTTGTGCATGTTT